TTTCGTTATTTCGGTTGTGTTGAGATGAGAATTTCATTTGTCGATGAGAAACATTTCTGAAGTTACTGAATGAAATTTTAATTATGAACTATTGTAAATGTGAACATTGTTGACATTTCTCGAAAAATAACACAAAAAGTCTCGAAACTATAATAATTTACAATGTCTGATCTGGACCCGTACCTTCTCCAACAGTTATTTTGGTACTGGATTTAATTATCAGTTCTCACGCTAGCTCATAGAGTTCCGTCTACCTAAAGGAAAAATAGTTCAAGTTTATACTTATAACACATATGTGTTATTAAAACATAACTTGAAACAAGTTGTTACTTTAGTTTGACAATTGGAGATCTTCAGACAACTGACCTATTTCAGCCTGCGTCCCTCCTAAATACCCTAAATATATGGATGGGAGCTGTCGGAAACGCTTCTAAATTTGCTATTTTGTTAATTAGTGTCAAAAAGCCCATTAACCTAAACAATATTACATGGTTCCTTAACCAAAACGAAGTGTTCGGCACATATTGAAAGACTGGTAATTGTATACCATATCATTTTTATAAGATCAAAGCCAGAATAAAATGATAGATTCGACACCACTGACAAGCTAAGACAGATGAAGACGAAGGAGAAATCCCAGGGGCCGAAATATGTGTCGAAATGATCTGATATGAATACGATTTTTCGATTTCAAGGGTTTTTAACTTGTACAGATTGCAATACAAAGGGCCTCATATTTTTCTGATTAACGGATAAGACGCAGGCATCAATCTTCTCGACATTTCATCTCAGGTTTAGCGAGCAACCGATAACTTGCCGCAATTCACACCGGCTCCCGATGTTGGCCTCACTGACAGGAAACCCGTTGAAAAATGCGAAGGTATCATCGAGAAGCATTACCTCTAGAAACTGACTAACAAGGCACCCTGGCTCCTAACCCTGGCCTGTGTTGTACAGAACCAAAAAAAAACCTTAAACATAATTACGTTCAACATTTCCCTCAAAGCCCTACTATCAATATATCTTATTTAACCCTCCTAGTCGGCTGTGACAATATTTCACGTGACAGAAATTAAGTTTGTTTGTCTCCAAGTATACTACAAACTACAATTACAAAGTCGACATTAAAATATCACATAGTAAGGAGAAATCTATTTCTGTTTCTCAATCATTTCGTTCGTGTCTTGATTCTTTTACGAAATCACTTATTTTATACGCCCACTGTCAGAAAAGGAAACATTTTCAAGATTGTTGTTTATTATACCAAGGCACTACAGCGTTCTCTGTCTTTAATAGCCCCATTAGGATCAGAAGAGTAGGACGTAAAACTCCATTCATTTCGTTTCAATTCTGCGTTAAGCTCCCGACTTTAAAAACAGTTGTTAAAAATCATTTATCCATCGTGAAATAAATTATTCTTGTTCAAATATTGCAAATGTATAGCAGCTCAGGTTCCGTGAATCCTGTCTACCAGCTGTAGGAAAACCAAAACCAATATTAAGATTTAGTACAATTAATACCAGGTCCTCGCTTTAAATAGTGATTTTTCATGAGTGACGAATTAGGATTAAAAAACTGCAGATGTACATTTAATAAGCCGATTTTCGGGACTTGAACCGTTTCGAAACACATTAGGTAAAATAAATTCACGCTTGTTCTATATCTAAATGTTGCAGTTCTTATATTCCTTTCTGATTTATTAGAGATAACATCTGCCGTGAATTTGATTATCTGATTGCAAACCGGGATTTTCCGTGTATTTTTTTGTTTCTGTCTGTGGATGATTTTACTTACCATTCATGATCTGGCCACAAGGTTTGGATCAACCAATAAACAGTTCTGTTCAATGACATATTATCTTACTTTCTTAAATTATCTGCCCACTTCTAACAGTGTGTTTGATTGGTTAACATAAATTATTACACATTAGGATGACATACTAGGAACGGTTTGCAGAGTGTAAGGTAACCCAGAGAAACATACAGATAAGGATTTTAATCAGATTAGGTGCAAATAATCTCACAAACAAATCTTCAACAAAAAAAATCTCCGAGCTGAGATATACTATTTGGGACAGCACATTTCTATTTGTATCTAATGAAGCTAGGTAAACTAGAAAAACGCCACTCGACTTCGAACGAGAGGTAAAATGTCAACTCAGAACTAGATGACTGTAAAGTTGATGGAACTGTCTTGCTAATGGAACATCTTTCATCTCGTGTCCAATATCCGACAAATCAGCACGAAAATGATAGCGGAAATGAGCGACGGATTTATGTCTATTTGTCATCCTCATTGTGGCGAGATTGCGACTTGAGTAAATGTTATATTAATTGTTGATCCAATTTAGCCTCAGTAGGTCGCTAATTGAACGTTTTCGTACAAAGAAATGGCTGGCGATTGCATGTTCAATTACCCACAATGGAGACCTCTTATTGTGCTCATTAGTCTCCTGTCTCGAAGAAACACTACCCAAATTTCGGGTTATGTATCCGCATTATCTGATTGTGTCAATTCGATGCAAGGATCTGTGCTACTCCTCAGGGCAAGGGAGAAATGGATTTCCTCCCCTGAAAAATATCTCTGACAACCGACCAATTCCATTACTGTAACCCAAACACAATACACTATTGCCCGTTCCGATATATTACGTGGCCCTCCATACAATCAAGTCTGGCTACAGGCTTAAGATTGAGTTAAGCGAGTGAAACCACCTTGACCTTTACTTTGATAACTTTTTACACCGACAGCGTATTATGGTAGATATCTTGATCCCTATTTCATCTTTGGACGTTATCACAAATGGACCGTGCTCATAAATCTGTCTACAAGTCAAGTCTGACTACAGGCAAAAAGAGATCTTTGACTAGACGAAGATGAAACAGGACCATAAAGTAAAAGGAAGGCACTAGATCTTGTTAGACACCAGTACTAAGATTATCTATATAGATAGCAAGGTCTTCAATTGGATTACAAGCATCATTAATAGTCGGAACGTTGAAGACAAAACTTCGTTACTGGTAATGGATGCCATTTTTTAAACTTTTACTGAAGTTATGGTTCAGAAATGTCTTAGTAGCTATGTTTACTCGATATAAAGAACACGATGAAACGTTTAAAGATCTCATTCTACCACTTTCTGTGCCAATGGGTACATATCAATTACCATTGGTGGCGGTAGGTGGAAGGTTCTCTCGAAAGGTTAGTCACTATTTAGGAAACAAGATGTTTAAAAGTATATATTTATAAGGTTTGAGTAGACGAATTTATAGTTTAGTCAATAGATCGATATCTCGGTGATTTGTTTTTGTAATACCAACGAATTTTTTTCGCCAAATTATATTGCGACACTGTCTACAAGATCTAGAATGACCCTCCCTCATTTTAGTTTCCTTCTGTCATGTCTTGAAAGTGCCCTAATTTCATTTGCTGGTTTGCAAATATAACTTTTAAAAATAAATATACTCAATTCTGTAATATTTAAGTTCCGAAGTAATTGTGTCTTAAGTTATTAGTGAAGTATAAAATTGTGTTTTATTTCCCAATATTTGGGAAAACAAAGAATAAGGAAAGTTAAAAAGATAATTTTTGAAAATAAAACTGGTTCGAATGGGATATTTAATAACGCAATGCGATAAGAGCATTAATGCAATTTGTATAGAGAACATGGTTTTGTCTTATGATGGTAATGATGATTTAAAATCGAGAACTAGACGATAACTAAACTAATATAAAACTTCAAAGACAATCCCGATAGCTATCTTATTTATTACACTGCACTTGTAAAAAAATAACTCCCTCGCTTAATAACTTCACGCAAGGAAAAAGCCAGTTCTGTCAAAGAGAGATATTTCTTTCTGGTAGTTATCATCGTCTTCATTAGCCCGTACGTTGCAGAAAATTAGGACATAGAACTCCACCCATTTCATTTCTAGCATTTATCTTGATATTGTTCTCTTTCTAACAAGTGCGGTGTTATTTCACTGAAGAGCACCTAACATGCTTATGAAGCAGAGGTTCGCCCTCTTGTTTGGTACCGATGCCTCATGACTAAGGTTACATGTCAAAATCATCCTTTTGAGAAAGACAAAAGCTTCTACATCGTGTGGGTGTGTAGTTTTTCACGTACAGTTGATGCCTCCGTGATATAGAACGGACTTAAATGTCACCAACCACCCTTTCAAAGAAATATCGGGAGCTGCCATCATGCAAAGGGATCATTTTCCTGTTTGTAATCGGGACTTAACTTTGATGCATCACGGAAACTCATTACTTTTCTTAATCACATTTCAATAAACGAGCATTATTATGGAAGGAAGCGAACTTATTGTTTGAAGACCTACCGCTCTGAGAGGAGCTCAAAATGACATAAGCACCTTCCATTTCTTTAGTGACTTAATCAAATGAATGCAAATATAAAACGACACAATACAATTAGTGGGATTAAATATTTAAAGCAGATAAAAGTTAGCCGAAGAAAACATTAAAAGCCAGAAGCCTCGGTGGAATTTATTATATCGTCTGTAATGTGATTACGAGGTAGGAAACCAGGAGAGCTCGTGTTTTAAAAAAAACAACCAGCTTTTAGCAGGTCATTAGTTAAACAAAATGAAAGTTATTCCTTCTAATTGGTTTTCTCCATACAATTGTAATCGGTACAGTATACAAGCAACTTTCAAGGTATTTAGGAATATACAGACATTGGGTTTTTATTATAATACGTCTTTAAATCGTATTGATATGGAAGCTTCAGTAAAATTCTTACAACAGCTAGGTGCTCCAATAGCTAAACCTCCCTAACAGATACATAACTAAGCGTTTAATGAGGGCTTCGTGCTGAGTTTTCTCGCTAATTATTGTGTCCAGGTATCAATCCCCTTCCTCATGTGAAAAGTTCAATAGCTGCTGCCAATATTTCGCCAAATGTTAAGATCGTTAGTACTTGGTTTAAGTTTAAAAGCGTGTTACTTTATGGTGTTATTTACCATTTTCTACTTCCAGGAATAATCCTAGATGAGTCGGCACTGGATGTAAACAGGGCAATAACTAGAGTGATAGCTCATAAAAACATGCACAATGCTGATTCTAGAATACTACTTAATGCCACAATAGATTTGGTCGATGTTTCAGACAGTTACAAATTGAGTGAAGCCAGTAAGTTCACTTTCATTTCAAAATCAGATGCATTTACTATCATCTTATTAAAGTTGTAACCTCGTGTGCCAGTAAAATGAAGGGGAGCTTTTCTGTCAACTAATTAATTCAATATGCGAAAGGTTTCCTGGAGCACATGTTTTGAACGAGTCGTCAATGTTAAAACGTAACAAAACGAAACTTTTTAAAAAGCGCTCAACTCAACGAATAGTGGCCAAAATTAGATTTATACCAAAGACTTATTCTATGCATATACTATCATGTACTAAAAAAGTTTTACCACCATCTTAATTAAATAAAATGGAGAGTTTAAAGAAATTGAAAATACGTGAAAATATATTTTTTTTGGCCTACTATTAGTTTAAAAGCTCACTGAAACGAAAATTCGATGACAGAAATTGTAGTGCAAATCAAACGCCTTCTCGTTAATCATCACAAAACGCCATTCAATTGCCGAATTATAACCTTTCAATGTAACTCTTACTTGTAATATACTTCATATCTAAAGACCTTTTGATAATTTTTTGAGTGTATCATTTCATTTCAAAATTATTTTCCTTATATGCCAAACAAAATTAAATTGTTTTCTGAAAAGTAATGCGTCGGAACGTCGTCTAAGAAATAATTTCGTACATTGACAATCCAATTATCCTCTTGTTCAAAATTCGCATTTCTTAAATATAACTTTTCGGTTGTGTTTTTGATGTAGATCGGGCATGTATTGGTTTGATTAATTCACATGCAGTAGCTACTACTATACAATACAACCACATGTGAATATAGTTTTGTATTGCGTTGCCCCCTTTTTGTGAAATGGAATGAATGGAGATTTACGTCCTACTTACGTCTGCACCATGTGGGCTAAAAATACGGTGAGGTCAGCTCGGGAAGTAATGAAAAGGTTTTTAATAACTCAAAAGCAGTATAGCAGTATTCACTAAGATATAAGATCTGTATCTAACGGTGCAGCATTACATTACCCTTTCGTTGATTGACGTGAGAAAATGTGGCCTCGCGAAGTAAAGAACTTGGTTAAAAGTGTCAACATTTGCCGAACACTAGAAATTTGATGAAACTTGAGACAAGATATGAGTGATTATGGGGATAAAAGGGAAGAAATTACTAAATCACATGATTCCAGTTGAAATCGATATTTGTATGTTCAATTATTTACACCCTCACGCTTTGGATTCACGAAAAAACCTCTTTAGAACACTCAGCCACTAACAAGACGTTCATCTTAGATGTTTGCCTTTCGCTTGACTTGCTCCTTCGAGATTTTCTTTTTAGACAGTAATGGAGAAGAGAATGGGAAAGTCACCGAAGAATGTTTATTCTAGATCTTGGAACTGTAATTGCAGGAATGAGCATTGAAATATCACTAGAGTTAGCATTTTAACGCCGTTTGATGCCGAAGTTTATTGGAAGTGGAGGGTCAATTAATGTCGAGACTGGCAATCCGCATGTTTGTTTTTCGAAGGATTTGGTTATTAAGTCACAAGCGTTTAACGTCAAGACATACTCAGGAATCAGCGTTTTGATATTCAGTTCGAATTATTGGATATTTCGTGAAATGTACCATTTCTCTTGAATACTAAAAAAAACCCAGTTATTTCAAAAAAATATATATATGAAAATTTGAATGAACAAGTTCATAAAAACAATTCATACGATGACGGACATTGACTAGAAGCATCTTTTTGAAACACCTGATGGTACTTCCCGTTTGAGAAAGGAAGACGCAAACTCCATTCATTTCATTTCATATCTCGCTGGAGGAGTCCACTACTATACAATTTTTGCTCCCGATTTTGTCATTATTAAAACAAGATTTTTGGTTAATTGAATTGCTTTGCTTGTACAGAATTTTACAGACTAAACACATATCAATGTCTTTACTTTCAGTTTGTAGACAGCTTCACAAGGGTGTCTTTCTTTTATTTGGTACAAGTCTACCAAAAACATTTAATACAATCCAGTCCTACAGCCATGCCTTGAAGGTACCTTACGTGGTGGTAACACCGAATAGAAACGATCAGAGAGATGGGTACCGTTATGAAATCAGTATGAGTCCGTCCTATATTGAAGTTATTATTGATTTAATCAAATGGTTTGGCTGGGGAAAAATTTACTATCTCTTTGACTCGGATGACGGTGAGTAAAATGAAACAAGAAGGTGGAAATGATCGGGAAAGTAGACGAGAAAATGCAAATCACATAGTTGTTTGGCAATAGCATAAACTGGGTTATGATAAAGTGGTCAATAAATTCCCTGGTTTCCCTTGTGTTTGCCAAATCTTGTTGCATATCATATTTATTTGATTACAATAATATAATCAAGAAGTAAATTGCCCTGTATGTATATTGTTGGCGGTAGAAAGAACGAAGCGGAACAAATGATACATTTTACCTTGAGACTGTGGCGAGATTTATAAATAATGTTACTTGGTAAAGTTTCTGATGCTACATGCAAGGATTGATGAACCAAATTCTATATTAATAATTTTATGAATTTACAAAGCACGGGCATGTAGGCGTAACCTCTAGTGAGAGAGTATTGTTTGTACAGTTAGTTTGAATACTAATATAGAATATTTGGAATTTCAGGATTATGGCAACTGCAAAAGATCTACGATTCTTTCCGTCAACCGCTGTTAAACCTGGTAGTTGATGCTCGTAGAATCCGGAATCTGTCAGAATCTCACGAATTGTTGAGACGAATGGACAGATCTGACAGTTTTAGTAAGAAACGGATAGTAATTAGTTTATCTACTGCAGCATCTTATCAATTATTATTAAATCAGGTACGCTAATGGCGCAGGTTATTTGGATATTATTACGTCTAACGTTTTGCTTCAGAAAGTCGATATATAGCTCAAGCTTACCAAGTGTAGATTTCCAACAGGGATCTTCGACTACGTGGTGTGTTCAGGAAAATCGTGCCAATTGTTATTTTTCACCAGAGAAGCTGACTGAAGTATCTGTTTTTATGACTTTCTGATTGAAAAATTATCTTGGCCTCATACAGTAAGTAATGTACACCAATAATGAATATTATTCTGTTTCTGTGATGCTGCTAGTCTTTGTGGAAGTATTTAATTTGGAATATTTGAATGAAGTCTTTGTTTATATGACTTTCAATTTGCTTTCAGATAGTAGATGTAGGCATGAATAGAGATGATTATCATTATTTACTCGGAGGACCGGTAAGTTTGTTACATAATGTCACGGAAGATGGGGAAACATTCCCCAACAATGTGAAGAGAGCTCCTCTGCCTTTTGTAAACCTTCTTGTCTGCTTTTTGAAACAGTTTTCGAATAACTAGTCTTAACTGTCGTCTATAACTATTGGTTAGTAGAAAACTTAGAGGTTTGGTGAGTTTGTTACATGTAAGCAAGGAAATGTTCTTCTATACAGTATTCAGGAACACAGCTGATGTAAATGTCCGAGAAAATCTGTCATCTATTAATCATGCGCTTATTGACAATAGTTTTACGAAACGGTTTTCACACACCACCCCTGCCTTCTTTTACCCATTGATATGACATGATTTGTTCAGTAGAAAATCACAGAACGTTAAGAAACTTGGTCGCCTATTGAGATTGACCTTTTTAAGCGACAAAACCATCACAACACATCGAGACATATTGCTATCTAAACAAAGAATGGGTTGGATAATTTTTCGAGGAATAAAGAGGGATGATTTAACAGAGTTAACCCATGACTAAACTTTGGAAGATGATATTGTCAGAAAAAAAATTCACGGCAGTTAGTAGATTACTAAACTATAATCCATGTAATCCTAATTTGGTCACGTTTAATAACATTACCTCTGTAATATTGATACTACAGCAACTTCTTCATAGCATCACGTAATGATTTAGGGTATATCAAAATATAAAAAAAATATTCATATCTTAAGAAAAAATTATCTGGAATGGCATTTCTAACCAAAAATATTTAATCACTTACTAAAACGTTATATTGAGTTGAAATATTAGCATGTACAGTAGTTCAGAATATCTGCAATTCATGGTAAAATTATCCCGCTATCCTATAAATCAAAGTATTAATATTGTCGAAACTGGTACAAGGAAATAAATGTGTTTCCTATACTATATTTCTCATCATAAATTGAGAAAATTACATTACTGAATCGGATGCCGTCGATACAAAACCTAGTTGAAACATTTATTGAATACGGTGATTTTCAACCACAATTGATAAATATTTCAACTAAAAAATATTAGGTTTTTGAACCTCAATTTTAAAAAAATATATTTTTTCATCTCTTTATCTTAAAAAGGTAGCTTTCTAACGACCAAATGCCACTGTTAAAGCTTGTGCACGCTTCTCTTGTTGGCAGAACTAGTGAAGATCTCTCGTGAGGTTGTTATGGATTCTGATTTGACTCTTTCAAATTTTTGTTATGTGGTTTGTTGTGGAGATTAATCTATGGCATATTACGGTAGTTACACATCCTACTCTTTCTCGGCTGTATATTTTCCTTTCAGCCTTCTACGAGTAATTCTTTCATTGAGCGGAAAGATGCAGCAACATCAAGTATATTCAACCTAATTTATCTTGCATTTTGTTGTATTTATTGATAAAGAAACGGGCATTAAAGTGAAAGTAAAAATCTGACATGTTTATTATGATTAATCGAGGCTAAAAATACTTTTTATTAAAAATAAATTTGGCTCGATTCACCCGGATTCGCCGTCTATCTGACCTACCTATTGATTTGCTATTTGTTCTTGTCTTAGATCACTAAATGTTGCTCTGACTCCATTCTGTGAATCAGGACAGCTTTTTCTGATTAAGTTCATGAAATTTCATCAACCCAATAAATTACAGCTTGATTTCATTTCGTTCTTTTCAATGAGTAAAAATTGTTGACGTCAGTAGGTCGGAGAACTCAACTCACTGGCACTGAAAAACAACGAATGAGTGATTATGAGTGCATCGGTATACCCATCAATATGATAAAACTTGCTTAATTGAAAATGTAAGTGCGGTGGCTGTATTCTGTATTCTCCCTCTGATACACAAGTTTGTGCTAGGATGAATGGTTCGCTCCAGATGACGTTACAACTATGTTGAATATCACACAAAAAAAATGGCGAGATGGGCAGATGGTGATAAGATAGGTCTCACATGTATGAAAGACTGAACTGAAACTCTCCTTGATACAATTTTATAAGTACCGCCAATTTTGAGTCAGCTAAACGATGTATAGTGTTGTGTCTTCTGCTGAAGGAGTCGTGTAATAACAGTCTGCAAATAAAAGTTCAAATGGTTTTTGAAAACTGTTTTTAAAAGCAATTATGCAATCGACTACAGTGAACCAAAACCGTATCCTCTATAAACCGGTATATTTGAAAATTTCCGGCCGAATCACTAATAAATCTTTAGGAGAAAAACCACGATAAGCCAACACCCCCGCTTTAAACAGAATATATACTTTTTATTGCAGGATATTGGTCAGCTAGATTTAAAATCTTTCCTCCATGGAGGTGTGAATGTCACGGGGTTTAGGTTATTTAGACCCAGTAGTCAGAATGAACTGGCATCCATTTTAAAACCACCAAAAGATCCAAATAAAGTTCGAGGTAAAATGAGAGGAAGGAAGATCTCTGTAAGTTTTTGGTCGTCGCTACTTGTTACATTTGATGCATTATATTGCCCCAATAGACGAACCCGATCCGTTAATACGAAAGAAACAACAACAAGCTATTCGCTAAAGCATATTAGAAATGAAAGTTTGTGGCACTGTGGAGCAAGTGATACGCAACGATGTCTCGATGGCATCAATTGTCATTTAATATTTATAATGTTTACTGAGGCGATGGTGCAAGCGAGGGAGCCGTAAATCCTTTCTGAAACGCATGCCGCCGTTTTGGGATTAGGTTTGATAATACAAGACTGCATGTGTTCAATAAAATAATGTTTGTATATTTATATAGTTTTCAATGCTATAAGCAATAATCAAGATTTTGCACTTCGTTCACCCTGACAACAAAAACAAATTATAACCAATTTTCATTAGAGATTTTCTGTCGGAAACAGATAATAATCATTAGTCTATTCAATAAAAGTGTAAGGCGTTAAATATAAATCCCCGTCTGTGTGAATGAATACGGACATGCAATATCTAATTTAAGTAACGGTTACTCTAATCCCCCAATTAGAAAATACTGTCATTTATTGATTAAAGAAAGAAAACTAATTCCTCGTTGAAAGTTTTAATATGTATGATAAGAGCCGACTATCGATTCACTACATAAACTTGCCGTTTTCATGCGGAAATGTATTGGTTGTAAAATAATAGTTAAATTCTTGACGAGATAAACCGGCGCCTTGATGACTGCCCTTGACATAATAATGTATTACTGCTTAAAGAGAGGTGCAAGTTCTTTAAAATTATTACATTTATTCTCAATTGTTCTTGTGAATTTCACTGAATTAGATTTGGTTTTATCAAGCGAAACATACCGTCCTTTCTTAATCTTGCTACTGTCCTATGACGTCTATCGTAGCTAATTTAGTGACTACACCACAAAAGGCTCACTCTTTTATATAGCCACAAGCCTTTGTCATACTGTATAGTCTGGAATATTCAACTATGTATATTAATGTCTTGTCCAATTACTTGTAGTTTGGACGATAAGTCAGTTGTCTGAAGATCCCGTAGAGTGAAACTCTGAGTAACAACAGGATTCAAATTCTTGCTTTAATATTTCTAACTTTTATATAAATTGTGATCTGACGTGCAGTTCTAAATCTTTGCGGATTTCGACTCTGATTCTTATTTCGACTAATCAAATTATGTTGCGGTAAATAATACTACTACTAAGTAAATGATGTATGCGTCTATCTTTCTGATATTCATATCCAGTCTTAAGGGAGTCTGTTCGTCAGACAGTATTAGAATAAAGAGACAGGTATCAGTGGTGACTTGAATTTACATCCCCGGGGTATTCTAATAGGCAGGGTCAGAGTAACCTTTTTAAATTTGATCAACAAACCAAATTAGGTGGCTTTTCCTCGCAGCTGCAGTGACTGAGAGCATTTACTCTTTCCTCGTTTACCTTGCTAAGCCTAAGATATGATCTTGAAGGGTCCGGAGTTTATTATTTCTGTTTCGCGTATGTTTTATTCCCGGCTTCATATTGATGTCCAAATTGATTAAGGCAGTATTAACCACTCTCACTGAACCAAATAAAAAAGAAACCGTAATCATAATATTAAAAGATAAATCAAGCGTTATTACCCAATGTATGGGAACTATTTAAGTGATCGTCATAAAGCTTAAACCAATCTTACGCACACAAAAAATACACAACATTCAATGTGCCACTATCATTAATATAGAAAGATAAATGACCGGATCAGCTCATCGAGAGCAAGAGCTCCTTAATCTTGAGCACCACTGACCCCGGTTGTATTTTCAGACAGACGTTGCCCTTGCTACAGATGGTATCAATGTGATCCTAGAAGCATTTAAAGATATGTTGGTAACCTGTGCCGATGATGAACGATGTGTCTTTAAAACTCTGCGACACGGAGATCTATACAACAATGACAGTAAAGGTATACAGTGTAGATCTGATCCACTCCGACCCTGGACCCATGGCGACATAATACAGAAAGCTATCACAGAGGTTAGTAACGACATGAGAAGCATTAGAGTATACTGGAGAACTTGAAGCTGATCAATATGATGATGGCTATGAACAAGGCTTTATGTTTTTTTTATTATTAAGGCAAAAAGGTAAAACATAGGTAGCAGCTGAGGACGTATATCAATCATAAATGGTTTCTTTTTAGGTTAGCATTGATGGTTTAACTGGAAATGTGTCGTTTAATTCTCAAGGAATACGTAGACTTCAGGAAGTTGATATCATGCATTTACAGTTCGAAAGAAAATTGCGGAGGGTAAGCAGAGAATATTGCTCACTGTGGAATCTTGTGGGTCTTGATAATACCACCCATTTGTACATACGTTTCTTTTACCAAAAAGCATAACGTACTCAAAGGGTTTACGTAAACCTTTTAAATTTTGGCGTTAAAACAAAATAACGACAGGATAAGTCTTGGGACACTTTTCTCGATTTTGGTGTATACATTGCGGTTACATTGTTACTACCGACAGCTGATAACTCAATCACAGAATGCTATTAGGTGATACCAAAAGTGATCTAATGTGCATTACGTTTGGAATTACTCCCTCCCAGAATTGTATTAGGTTATCCGAATGTGATTTTTATGGGTAAAACTTTCCACTCTGTTGTTATGGCAATGGACACCTTTCCAATGGCAATAATAATGTTTTCTAGGTTGGCACATGGACTATTGAAGGAGGATTCAAGACCAACCTTACTCGTCCTGGTAATGAACGAATAAAATTAGAACCAAACAGAACAAGAATCGTTACTACAATATTGGTAGGTTTCAGATTAATATTAGATTACTGTGTACATGTATAATGGATATTTAAAACGTACCCTATCCATGCTCATTTGTAACCTTTGGCAAAAAACATAAGTGTATTAACATGTTAGAATATCAGAAATATGTAAACATCACCTGTGCACCGTTGGCAAGGTGTACATAAAGAACTGAACACAAAGTTGACATAATCCTTCAAATAATTAGATTATCAGTTTCGGTACAGCACACCTTGTAAATAAATGATTACTTCATTACAGTTAGTGACATGAGATTAGTAATGTGTTAAAATAATCCTTTATGGTTTTAGGAACCACCATTCACCGTAGAGAGAGCTCCGGTTGATGGTGTACCGTTTACTGGTAATGACAGATATGAGGGGTTCTGTATAGATCTTGCCAGAATGGTAGCTAAAAAAGTTGGATATGAATACGTTATCAAGTTAGTCGACGATAGGTCGTATGGTTCAAAATTACAAAACGGCACCTGGACCGGGATGATTGGAGAACTGGTTCGACGTGTAAGTACATTTGTATGTCCCTTTAAATCATTTTAGATGAGAGAGTCACGAGCCATTACAATATAATCTACTCCAGAACAAATCCCGAGTGCCGAATAGCACAAATAGTAATATTGAAGATGGAACAAATTCTCATTGAGAAATAATGATCCACTGGTCAGCAACTGCTGGATTTATTTTATTTTGATCTGATCTGAAATTAAATAAAATAACAACCACCAAACAATCCTTTGAAATTGTTCACATCAGTTACGTTTGTCTGATTTGGCTAACTGCTTTGCATCATTTGCCCAAATATGCAGTTATCTAACTCATGTTATTAAAATGTCTAGTCAAAGCTCATCTCATGCAGATTAGAGCACAGTTGATGTTGTTGACTTCCTTTCTGACAATTGGGTTGATTTTTCTACCACTTAATGTAAGATTAATTGCAGAATCTAGGGTCATTACCCAAACCACTTACTACATTTCTACTGTTCGATTTCCAGTTGCCTAAAATAGTGTCAGTAATGCCACTAGTCTGATTTGGTCGTTATCCATGAGCCATTAGCTTGAAGCAAATAACACTTTGTATTTAGTGAAAGCTTAACAAGTTAACTAGCCATGCTTGATTCAATATTTATTGGACGAATTGATTAAGGTGACTTTCTAACCACTTAACGACTTTAACTAGATAAAGAAATTCGACTTACACCTATTAAAATCGATGTTCAAACGCCAAATTGGCATTGTCAATTAAGTATCAGTTCGGCAACCTTTTGGACTTTTCTGACACCCTGAGCATCCGCTTCTGATTGGAAACGGAGGCCTTGACAATTTTCAGGAAATGCATACACTGATTGGGAAGAGCCAACCGTTTTCAAAACAGTTGTCTTAAGATTCTTTAGTGCTAAATCTTGTGCGGCAAAGTATATTTAAGCGCCTCGAACATCGATTAAGTATGTTTCTCGTGTTCCGAGCTCGATTTGATTTTGCATTTGGCTTTATTAGACCACATCATGTCAAACAATTATATAAGCATGAGTTTGGCTTCTCCATTCTAAGATAATACAAAATTTTTAATGTAGACATAGTTTGAATAATAAGGTAGAAACAAGATGATTGAAATAATAAAAATGAAATTTTAATTCAACAAAACAAACTTTAACAAAAGAAACAATAAATAAATATTGGATTTTCTGCAAAGAAACATTCTGAAAAATGTAGGTTACAGAATGAATACATATTTTCTTTCGAAATATATCAAGCTCTATAAGTAAATAAATAACCCTTAATGCCAATAAATGAATAACAAAATAAACAATTGTAGCCATGTGGACCCTCTTTTATGTTGAATTGGCAAATCCGTTAGAGACTGGCATCGAAAATGAAAGTACTAAAGCTCAAATTCAATGTGTTTGTAGACATAATGGACTCAATAACTTCAAGGTACTAATTCGAAGATTATCCTTGTAAGCAGTCTGATCCACCAGCAGAATTAGTTTTAATATCTCAAAAGACACAAAAGTGATTGTTTCCAAAATTCTGATTCGTCACTATTGATGTTCGGATGTCGTAGTTCTGCTTTAAATATTTATTTTCATTCACACAGAAAAATGTTTTGCCGCTGAATTATTTTTGTCCAAAAGATTCACACAAATTATACAGAAACACAAGATGATAAATCGGAGCAATATACACACTTAAATACACACAGTTGCCAGCAGCCACAATTTTTTATATAGACCCAAATTTGTCTCGAAAATTATCCTTTCATTTAAGAATCACATTATATATCCAGGTTTTTGTCGCATCAAATGTAGATGAATTTTTCTAATTTTACGATTTTTTACGAAGATTTTGTCCTTTTACACATTTTTAACCATTATTTTGGGAAGGTGTCTTCACTGCTTCAAGTCTTTAGAGTTTTTATTTTCTGAAGCCGTTTGGTCCTCCAGTCATTCCCATATCTCCGCCCATCATTCCCATGCCTCCGCCCATCATAGGGTTCATGCCACCCATACCTCCCATAGCACCTGTCATACCGCCCATCATTGGATTCATACCTCCCATCATAGGGTTCATGCCTCCCATACCACCGCCCATCATAGGGTTCATACCTCCCATAGCGCCTGTCATACCGCCCATCATAGGGTTCATACCTCCCATACCACCTGTCATACCACCCATGGCACCGCCCATCATAGGATTCATACCTCCCATACCACCTGCCATACCGCCCATTGCACCGCCCATCATAGGATTCATGCCTCCCATACCACCTCCCATACCGCCCATCATAGGATTCATGCCTCCCATAGCACTGCCCATACCTCCCATGGCACCCATTCCACCAGACATCATTGGGTCCATGCCGCCCATGGCACCGCCCATACCTCCCATCATAGAGTTCATGCCGCCGAATCCTCCCATGAGTCCACCTAAACCGGAAATACCAGGATAACCAGTCATACCGCCCATACCGCCGAAACCATGCATTCCCATCATGGAGCCCATGCCGCCAAATCCACCCATCATTCCACCAAGCATGCCGCCCATTCCTCCCATCAGCATTGGGTTCATCATCCCCAAACTAGCTCCAATACAACAGGACAGGATGCTTAATACTGAGTTCATCTTGAAAGCTACAACAGAACAAAATAGAAATTGTTAGAAGAAAATGAGAAGCAAGGAATTGTTTTCACACCTAATAAGAAAAACAAAAATTATTGTCAAGTTATCAATGTTTTTATTACAGGCTTTTTGACTAAAAAATCAGTCATTGGAATCAATATGCTCTCAAGGCGCGCCACCGTTCATCATATCAGATAACATCAGATATAATATTTTGCATCTCTTTTCTAAATACGTCCGGGGTATTTTCGGGTGCCTTTTCAGGGACGCGAATCCCTTGCCACAATCCATAGATCAATCGAATTTGTATTCAATAGGCATTGATCTCTTCAGTTATGAAAATTATCAAGTCTTTGCATACCAAGTTCACCAAATGTTCATCAAATGAAATGATGTTTAAATAAAGCGACCATTGATTTCGATTTCCAATTGTATATTAAATTTCTTAATAAATTCTTACCTTAGTTGACACCTTTCCGTTTTAACTGACAGACAAATTGTGAAGTCTATCTGAAAATCACCTTACTTTATAAGAAATTATCAAAGTATGACGTGAGAGCTTTAGAGTTAACAACTTCCTGTTCTGTAACATTAAGGACGGTGAATTCCCTTAAACGTGGCCCTTATTCGATAATAGGTCTAATTAGCCTCGACTCTTTATTAATTTTAATTAGGCCTCGGGGCTAATTCTATTTTAATTGATCTAATTGAATATGTAACAATAAAATATACGAGACATTAATGGCTTTACACCCGACAAGTGTTTTTAAATCGCATTTTGTCATTCATTTGACATGATTTGAAATATCAACTGAATTATCAATAATGATTGTCTTAGATTGTTTTAGGGCCCATGAAAATTGCAACAGATAAAAAAAATTTATTACACTGAAATTGGATTATTTGGTGGGGAATTTTAAGTCCAAAAATTGGGTCATTTTCTTATGAAATTTGTTGAAGGAGAATGTGTTTGTCAAATATAAAAACTGCCGAACCTTATATTTATAAATACACCAAGATCATTGACACAATTGAAACTTTTATCTGGAATTTTCGTAAAATAATTGAAAACATTTAAACCATCAACTTTCAAGAATGTCATTTCTCACTCAGCTATGGTACCTCTTTCTACAAATATCTTAATATCGTTAATACTATTCTTGAATTAATACTATTTGTGACATGCAGGTAGAGATAGCATTAAATACGGTCTTAACTTCTAACACTGTTTCTAGGATATCCTAGAGTCTTAACATCTAACACTGTTTCTAGGATATCCTAGGGTCTTAACTTCTACCACTGTTTCTGAGATATCCTAGAGTCTTAACATCTAACACTGTTTCTAGGATATCCTAGGGTCTTAACTTCTAACACTGTTTCTGAGATATCCTAGAGTCTTAACATCTAACACTGTTTCTAGGATATCCTAGGGTCTTAACTTCTACCACTGTTTCTAAGATATCCTAGGGTCTTAACTTCTACCACTGTTTCTAAGATATCCTAGGGTCTTAACTTCTACCACTGTTTCTAAGATATCCTAGAGTCTTAACTTCTACCACTGTTTCTAGGATATCCTAGAGTCTTAACTTCTACCACTGTTTCTAAGATATCCTAGGGTCTTAACTTCTAACACTGTTTCTAGGATATCCTAGAGTCTTAACTTCTAACACTGTTTCTAAGATATCCTAGAGTCTTAACTTCTACCACTGTTTCTAGGATATCCTAGAGTCTTAACTTCTACCACTGTTTCTAAGATATCCTAGGGTCTTAATTTCTAACACTGTTTCTAGGATATCCTAGAGTCTTAACATCTAACACTGTTTCTAGGATATCCTAGAGTCTTAACTTCTAACAATGTTTCTAGGATATCCTAGGGTCTTAACTTTTAACACTGTTTCTAGGATATCCTAGGGTCTTAACTTTTAACACTGTTTCTAGGATATCCCAGGATCTTAACTTCTAACAATGTTTCTTGGACATTCTAGGATCTTTTAACACTGTTTCTAGGATATCCTAGGGTCTTAACTTCAAACAATGATTCTAGGGTATCCTAGAGTCTTAACTTCTAACACTATTTCTAGGATATCCTAGAGTCTTAACTTCTAACACTGTTTCTGGGATATCCTAGGGTCTTAACTTCTAACACTGTTTCTAGGATATCCTAGGATCTTAACTTCTAACAATGTTTCTAGGATATCCTAGGGTCTTAACTTTTAACACTGTTTCTAAGATATCCTAGTGTTTTAACTTCCAACACTGTTTCTAAGATATCCTAGGTCTTAACTTCTAACACTGTTTCTAGGATATCCTAGAGTCTTAACTTCTAACAATGTTTCTAGGATATCCTAGAGTCTTAACTTCTAACACTGTTTCTAGGATATCCTAGAGTCTTAACTTCTAACAATGTTTCTAGGATATCCTAGAGTCTTAACTTCTAACACTGTTTCTAGGATATCCTAGAGTCTTAACTTCTAACAATGTTTCTAAGATATCCTAGAGTCTTAACTTCTAACACTGTTTCTAAGATATCCTAGAGTCTTAACTTCTAACACTGTTTCTAGGATATCCTATGGTCTTAACTTCTTACATTGTTTCTTGGACATCCTAGGATCTTAACTTCTAACACTGTTTCTAGGATATCCTAGGGTCTTCACTTCTAACACTGTTTTTAGGATATCCTAGCGCTAAGATCGTTTCGAGAATACCTGTCTTAGTTTCTTGAATTATTTTTCTTGTATTTTTTTTTTTTGCAGGAAGCTGACATTGCTGTAGCACCACTGACCATAACGCAGGCCAGAGAAAGGGTAGTGGACTTTACAAAACCTTTTCTGAATACTGGTATTAGCATTATGATTAAGAAACCAATGAAGTCCAAACCAGGAGTCTTCTCGTTCATGAGTCCCTTGGCCAAGTATGTTTGGGTGTGCATCATACTCGGATTTCTAGCGGTTGGTATCGTGTTGTTTCTGGTGGGAAGATTCAGTCCGTTGGAATGGGTCCCAGAAGAGGATTCAGAAGAAAGTAACAATGTTTTTACTATTGGGAATACGATGTGGTTTGCTCTTGGTGCTCTGATGCAACAGGGATCTGATATTTCTCCCAGGTATGTTAAAAATTATTCTTTGCACTGAAATATCGGTAGCAAAGGATTACACGGACAAAAAATCATTAAGATTAAGATTATTGAACAATGGCACTTTACAAACACAGATATATGGCATGCTGGTATGCCAATGTAATGCTCGACAAAAAGTATTGGATGCGTTGCATCAACCCAACAGACGCCATGCTGGCTTTCGGGTATAGACTTTGTATCAGTCCTATACTCGTGATGCCATTGGTTGTTAATCCTTAAGAGGCTTTTAGGGACAGATATCACATTTAATAACTCAGGTAATATACCATAAAATTGTGTTCCTTTATTTAATCTAAAAAATTAGGAAGCTCTATGGGAATGCGAGTCTGTGACTGGGCAATTCATATTTTGTTTCCCTGTTTTCAGATCAATATCAGGAAGAATAGTTGGAAGCGCATGGTGGTTCTTCACCTTAATTATTATATCATCTTATACTGCAAACCTTGCTGCCTTTTTAACCATTGAAAAAATGGTGATGCCCATAGAATCAGCCGATGATTTAGTTCGACAAACAGAAATTAAATATGGCACTTTACAATCTGCATCAACTGTACAATTTTTTAGAGTACGTTTGTTGTTTTTTTTTTTCATTATATAAATGCTTTCTCATTGTTGTAGGTGTAACATTTTTTCTTACCAAAATATAACTTTTGTGATCAGTTACCTCCCTTGGACAATTAATTCACAGTTTTTATTTAGTTTTTTACCTTCCTGCCTTATATATCAATACATACAAAACAAGCCTTGAAAATAAAAGAGTCCAATATTCTTTTTCATTTGTCCGTCGCATATTTTATTTGCCACATAAAAAGTTACCTCTTTCAAATGTGTTTCATTTGTCAAAATAAAGCAATTCAAAGAAATGTAGTACGTATCCGCCTATGGCAGGTCACACGCCGAGAGGGCGGAAGCAATTAAGATTCAGTTATCATTATCTGTAATTAAGTCTCACTTGAGTATATCTTTTGCCTAAATCTATGACTATTTTGACGTTTTTACTGTGTTACATAGGGTTTATTTTTCGCCAACTTTTTTTTTTTAAATGGAGACACATTTAAATGTCATTTGATTTCTACAAATGGAATGAAAAATGTGTCATAGACATAGGTCCAACTATAAAAAAAAATCCCGATTTACGTATTCTGAAAGTAAATAGCATCATGAACGAAAATCTCATGATATTTGAAATATATACACGGTAGCATAACAATAATAAGTACTGACGATCAGAATAGTGAAACGAAACTCGAGTCCAAAATAACAGTTTGGCAATACATTGGTAGCAGCACATAAAAACTATACATTAATTATAAATATTTCATAATGAAAAGTGGAATCAGGCGTCATTTCCGTCAACAATGTTTTCGCGATATTATCACACCAAGTTTTATTGAGGGCTTTGGCAAATATTTGGACGTACGTATCGTTTATTTTATTAAAACGAATATCATGTTTTAAAAAAGTTTTCTTTTTATTCTGTAGGAAACAGAAGTTTTAGTTTATAATCAAATGTGGAATTTTATGCGAGATGCTCGACCTAGTGTGTTTGTTCCTACTGTGGATGATGGGGTCAGAAGAGTTCGATCATCAAAAGGAAAATATGCCTTTATACTCGAATCTGCCATGAACGAATATCAGAATCAAAGACGACCGTGTGATACGATAAAAATTGGCAGAAATTTAGATTCAAAAGGATATGGTATAGCAACGCCACTAAAATCAGATCTACGGTAAATACAGATAACTACACGATATAAAACAGATCTTGAATATGGGACAGTCTAATTAAAATAAGACCAAACTTTCGTTCCGTTTTACGAAATTCAAGTTTTGTCGTTTTTCTAGTTGTTTTTATGGCGACTCTTTTCAAGTATTTTCATAAAGCAGATAAAGATAAGATACTACTCTCAAATATTAATGCATGAACTCAAAAAGCAATTCAAAATATTATGTTACAGACTTCAAGAACCAAAATATTTCATTGTCTTTGGCGCAAGAAACATATGTTCACTATACAATTTCTTCGTGTGTCCGTTCTTGGACTCACAGCCATTTTTTTTTACCTCTTTCAGAGATCGTATAAATATAGCTGTTTTAGAATTAAGAGAGGTTGGTGAACTTCACAAATTAGAACAAAAATGGTGGTATGATAAAGGAGAGTGCGGTGATCCTGGAGGAAAAGTGAGTAGCTACCAAAGAAAATAATTGACAATTTGCAGTTTACCAAGTTCCTTACCTACATAATAATATATTCCGACTGAGGATCGGCACATTGGTTAGGTCTTTTATGCTAAAAAACGGCATATATATTATGCAATCTAGAGTGAAAATGCAAAGCGTACACAAACGTAACTAGAGAACCACCTTCTGGTTTGTAATAAGTTTTCAGTAATGTTCTGATCCTGGGGATATCAATGAATCCTGACTAACCGATATTAACATTGTCTTACAGGAATCGTCTATTAATGCTCTAACATTGAGCAACGTTTCCGGTATTTTCCATATATTAATAGGTGGTTTGGTGCTAGCTATGTTAACCGCCTTCCTAGACTTCTTATTCAAAAAGAAATTTAAGGGCAAAAAAATACAGGTAATGGAATTTCTTATCATTTTGATACACACCATACGCAGCGGATACGTATATGACTTAATTGGAGTTTTACGTTTGCTTGGTTAAATAAATGTGCAAAGATTGATGATGATTATACTTTTAGTGTGATCGAGTAACCCAGTACTATCCCTTTAAATTCGTCTGCAGCATTATTTTAATATTGTTGTAATAACATCCTGTCGGTGTCTTTGATGTATTGCATCAGATCTATTTATAGAACTGTCATAGGGTTAAATATAGTCAGCGCGTGCATACACGACCAATGAATTATATTTTTGGTATCGTTATTTGTCAGATAAAAAATGGTACGTTAAATATATTTGATAAAGCAGCCACAACTCCCCGAGTTAATAAAGGGAGAGAAGTCAGAAATATTTATCGTCCGACAGACATGGAAAGTGGAAACGGAGGGGTAAGAGAATCGTTCAATGATTGAAATGTTTATATAAGGATGTCCCATGAAATTGGGACTAGACGTTCATTTAAGGCACAAGAAAGAGCAAACCACAGACGCTTCTATCCTGATGGTAAAATCTTAGCTCAATGCGAAGTCTCTAAGTTAAAGGTTTTGTGTATTTCATTAGATTTGGGTGACCCGAAGCTGCTCTGTGTGATGGACTATCTTAATCCCCTGTTTATTTTCTTCCAGGTTCGTTTTCCTGCTGAAGGTCGTTTAATATCATTTGAAGAACCTGTTATAGAGGAACAGAGCACCTTGTGATATCATTTTTTACATACATCATCATCATTTCACATGTTTTCCATTTAAACCGAACTATTTTGACTTTGTTCTAGCCGTTGAGACTTTGTTTGACTAAGAATCTGCTCCTAAACTTTGTCTGATCTAGCATCTGATGTTTTGTCTGGCTAGGTCTGTTGATACTAGCTTATGACATGTTTGTTCTAACGTGTTGTTTGTACAAGTGTCAGATTGACATCTGTCAAATCACAACGTTTAATAGGCAGAAAAATGTCAACATATTTCGGTCGTCTCTCTCTCATATGTTAAACATATCATTATTAACCTTTTTTTGTATACACGCTTGTTCTGTGAATTTTGCACCTCATATATTTCAAAAGTTCATCTTTTATATGGAAAATTTCTCTTAGAATCACTATTTACGAAGATATACATCAACACTGGAACTGTTAAGCAAAGTACTTCCCAATCTATCTTTTTTGTTATAAAAATTGAAAACATTGGTGAGACTTTGAAATAGATGATGACATTTGTGGTACACTCAGCCGACTCATTTTCTCTGGCCTTCCAAAAGCTGCCGAGTCAAGTTGGGGGGTATCCTTTGCCAGCGCCCAATTAATTTAAAACTGATTGTAGCGGCCACCACTCTTTACCTTGGTAATAGTAAAAAAAATCAGTAAAAACTCAAACTGGTTCTTGGGTTACGGCAAATTCCAGTTTAAGTTCTCTTTCTAATCAAATATGAAATTGAGATTTGGCTTAAAGGAGTTGCACAAATTTTTGAAAATATTTGAACAGTTTTATCTTCGTCAATCCATGCAAAGGGAAGTAAATACACGTTTTAAAATAAATCTATCATTTGTCAAACTTGTTATGTTTTTATTTTCACGAATTAAAAAATTCAAATATGTTTTCATTGATTATTTAAAATATTATACATAGTGCCCTTTTTTATGTTTAGAATTCTTCCCTTAAAGTTCGACCCATTGTTTGATAGTGTGGGTTTCATACAAATTTAATGTCTTCGTTAAGACAACCGGAGACATGTCAAGATGAAGAAATTTTATTTGTGTCATACTTCCCATGTCCGTGTAGGACTAAAGTAGAACGGCATGCACTGAACAATGAGTACAGTTTGTAGTACCCAAGAGCCCATTTACTTAGCCTCTTAAACAAACAATTGGCTTGAACATCCGAAGGCCCTCAATCCATATTGGAATTACACTATAGTCCTTTTTAATAGCGAATAAGCACATGAATTCTTAGAAACTCAACAAATACTTTAAGATGGACGATTATGAAAGGCGCTGTAAAGCACCTGCCCTCATTTGGCCAATCGAAACCCGAAATCTAAAACAACAATGCACTTTTCATATGAGGAAGATTATCATAAACAGGTGAGGAAGTAAGTTCAAGGGAGGTAACTGATGAACATATTTTTATTTAAATTATGATAGTTCTCAAGTGATGACATGGTAGGCTTAGTTTTAGTAGAATAACAACTTCCATAGAAATGGAAAATGCACATCCATCTATCTATGTTTATAGTGTCCTCGGATACTCAAGACAGAAAACCTCTTGGTAACTCCCTTATATGTATCTGTAAGCATTGTCATCATTACGCAGCAAGGAGCAAAAAACTCTTTAGACAATTCTTTGATCGGTTGAGCTACAGCTACTATCTCGAGTTTTCTTAAGTTGTAACAATGTTCCTTTCATTCGAAACAACAGGGCGACTATCATCGCAGTGGGAGAAGTAGGCCGACTGTAAAATATACCAAGACTACAACACCGCAACTGAACGCAGTCAGAGAGGCGACCAACAATATTCAAAGGAAAAGAATATAATTTACGAGATTCAATTATCTGTAATTTCAATCGGTAGCGGACAAATAAGATTTTGACTAGAAGTTTGAAGAGAAAACACTCGAATGCAAGGATCGATATTGTGAGTGGTCTAATCCTTTCATGGGTAAACACTCTCTTCGTGATTGCCTTCCTAACGTCTTTAGACTTGTAAATAAGATTTTTCAATTATTTGTCTTCAAATACGATTTTTTTTATACTTTCTTTCAATTATAGTGTTCCTCCTGACAGTTTTTTCTTCTTTGTGTTCACAAAGCAATTTCCCTCAGAATTTATTTTCGTTGCACGTTTTGTCTTCTGACTTTTTTCCATCGTTTGACTGAAGAATACTAATAAGTTGTGTTAGAAATTAATGTCTGATGGCTTGCCTGCAGCTTTATCGGGCGTGAAGCTTTACTTTCTTGTCAAACCTTTTTGAAACTAAGATAATGAAAGCCTGTTATCTGGAACATTCTAACATATTTAGCAGTTGGTTGGAGCGTTGGTTCTCTACATGCTTAGTTACGTCGAGCAAATGGACGATGTGGGTCCAATTCTCGATAGTGTGATAGGTAGGTAGTCCATAATTCCATAATTCCAGTCGACCCAGCTGTAAATGGATACAGATTATGCAGTAAATATCAATGCCAAGAGGTTTTTACAAGGACCATCTTGTAGAAAGGTTCCTAAACTGTAATGTTGTTATCCTTGTAAAATATAGTTGTTGTTTCTTTCATTGAAAGTTGTTAAAAACCAAAAGGTAGCAACACGAAATGATATAAAAAAGTTGGGTTTCTTATCTCCAACTAGATTCATTGAATACGTCTGGAAACAAACACAAATTGTGTTCGAATCGTACATATATCAAAGCTTTGGATTTAAGATTTGATTTTGGAGTATATCATTATTCCACGGACTAGACGATATATTTCATTCTGAAGTTAGAGTAGAACTAGACAGTAAGATATAACACGCTATCATATGTCCAAAACTAGACATTGACTAAGATAAGTGTTAGACTAACAGCTTAATGGCGAAATCTATCACTTAGGCTACGACGCTCTAAACGATTGCTGAACAACAATGGTTCGGCACATTTACAATTATTACACAGTACAATTTGGTCATGTCGGTTTGCATATCATCTCTGGATATTTAATAGTTGCCGTGCGTATACAGGACCAGATTTGTGTTGTCGAGATGTTGAGCAACGTGTAACCTGTTCTCAGTATGTACGGTTCTTTAACAGTCAAAGATCATGAATCATTTTAATGAACTCCAAGGCGAAAGTGGGTTGACGTCCCTAAAGACCTTCAAGACCAGAGCCATTACGGAGCAGTTATATACTGGTTAATTAGAAATAGAGACGAACATAACTTTATGTCTCTGGTGACTTGGTAGTTGATAACAGCTGAATAATATACAGACAAATATTTACCACCATTGTCAACGTTCTGTCTAAATGTTTATTGAATTCAAGCTCTCTGGCGGAGGCGAGGCTATGTCATTGCAGGCTCTTCGCTAAGAGATTGGGTTGGCAATGTAATGTTGTGTGTCTTAGAATAGTTCACATAGTTGCAACAAAAATAAAACTAATTCGAATACCTAATAACTAATTTATTTGTTCAGATATCTTAAAAGCCGTTAAAAAACATTTATACAGCTCTTCAATGACAAACCACATTTGGCGAAAATTTATACAACTAAGAATTGTTTATATGATAATTTTTCAGCTTTTCTAAGTCAAACAATATTTGTAAATAAGGGTCATTATCAGGAATCTCTAATTTTGACCTGGTCAGTCATTAAACTAATATAAAATCGATGCCAAGACACTAACGATAATCGAATTTCTGGTTGCCTAGCTACCTAAATTAAATTAAGACGAAGACAATAAACTCAAATTCTATCTCAAATTGACTGATACGCTCGTAAATTTCAGTCTTATTAGGTGATGTCTACGGAATAACTAGCCGTTAGCGTCTGATTAAGTTACTAACTAAAATCCTAGTGGAAGAAAGTCCTTTATATTATTTACAAATAAAAGCAAATGATAATATACAGTTATTAGGACAACACTTATGCTTACACGACCTTTGATCATTTCGTTGAAAGCAGAATACAAAATATCTTGGCTACACCTGTCCGATGAGGCCTACTATACAACTTCATCGATACTGTAAAAATACAGGGGATCAGGACAGATGTAAACACGATACCGGGCAATTCAGGAAGTTCTATTGAAGCAACAAATTGCATATAAATATAAACATTTTAGATTATTATACTGTGTCAAAATAGGCCAACGACATGTCCTGTTTCATTTTACCATTTTAATTTCTGCAGGAAAAAAAACTTTCAGCATCAGACAATCTTCCCGCCAATGGGTGTGAATAATATCAATTTGGTTACAAATCTCTCAAACTATTTACAATTCCATCCTCATTACACCACACTCAATAAATCCAAGGCCAGACTCATAGATCATTGTCGACATCCAGTCCGTGTTATAGTAAGGTTAACTATTAGAATTAAGAATTAACAGTGATATTAGGTTTATTACTTCCAGCCCTTCGTAGAATATTGTCGTCTTCTTCAGACTCCTGTTCGATGAATTCGCTTACTTAGCTCACGAAAGTCATCCCTAATTCTAAAATAACTTAAATTAGAATTGTGTATATTATTGAGTCTTCATTTAAGCTCTAGTACTTACTGATGTAGGTGTTATCATGTAATGTAGGTCACGGTTTTTATGAGGTATCTATTGAGTATTAATTTAAGCTCTAGTACTTACTAATGTAGGTGGTATCATGTAATGAAGGTCACTGTTTATTGTGGTCTTAATTTAAGCTCTAGTACTTACTGATGTAGGTGGTATCATTTAATGAAGGTCACTGTTTTTTGTGGTCTTAATTTAAGCTTACTTACTCGTGTACTTGATGCACTTGATTTGAACTGGCGAATAACTTGTTCCACACCAAATTATTTGTGGAGATGCACTAAGCTATTGAGGTCGATTTCCTATTTATTTTATTTGCTTGACCTCTTAACACCCACAAGTTCTTCATTTCCTGAGTTTCTGGCTGCTCAGGAATTTTTATCGGAGTAATTGCTGACTGGCAGGATTAAAAATGGCTGACCGAATTCTTTTGCGTTTTTTATTGCTAATTTTGTGAAATTGGTATAATTATTACTTTTCTCAAGGGACTTGTTTTTTCATTCTTTCTATTTACAGTAAATTAGCTTATCGCTATGATTAGATCGCCTTTATTTGATTGTGTCTTCTTGATTTTGTGTTTCTTTCAAGATGAACTCTGGGACGATATAGTACCTCGAATTATTGATCTTAAGGGTTTTTTTTAACAGCACTCGGTTCGATTAATACCATGTGTACTGGACGTTTTAGAATGGCTTCAACTCAACCGCATGGTTGACGATTAATGTAACGATTAGGCAAATGTGAGAGACCACAAAAACAAGTCTTTAGAGGTTGTACAACCGACACAAATTTAGAAAAACACTTTAAGGAGAGTTAATACGAAGGATTGAAAGGGACTAATACACGTCTACCTTTTAAACAATTCTCATGCTGTGTTCATACAGTGTATAAGTTTATTTGCTGCTACTAATGTATTGCCAAACTTGTTTCAGAATCCGTGTTTTGTTTTGCCGTTCGGATTGTTAGTAATTGTTTTTCTTTTTCTTTTTCGCGAACTACAGTACATAAAACAATCAGGTTACCATGCTTTACTTCTGCAATATGAAGCCTTCCAAATGTTGTTTCAGGTTCAACAAAAATATCGCTTCTAATTAGAGCAGTGGTACAAGATGATAAAATTATTTGGTTGTCGAAATAAATACCAAAAAGATTTATTACTGTAATCGCTAAGTGTAAACCACCAGAAAACCAAATCGTATGTTAATAATTGGAGTAATAGTGCTGGAATGAATGTGCGATGTTTATGTATCAAAGTGAAAAGCATATTATAACCGCATGACAAATACAGAAAATGACAAAAACCCAAGTAGTTATAATTACTCTCCAAATGCTTAAGGTGATTTTCAATCATAAAAGCTCTTCGGGAGCATACAACACTAATAACTCTTGGTAATTCTGAAAAAAAGCTTCTTTAGTTATGGATGTTCCACATGGTGAGAAATCTCATCTATATGAGAAGTATATTTTAAAATCAGAAGAGGTCTGATGAAGGCAGCAAGTTCTTCCAGGTTTTCTTAACGAACAGCTCTCTTAATGTCCACTTTAAAGTTTACAAGAGATTATTTAAGAATAGTTGATTTACAGACAATGTGTGGAACACGATAGGAACCCCGTTTACAAGCTATTGTATCATTTCGCTACATCTCCTTCCGACTTAAAAATCGATACACAGCAGAGGAAAAACGCGACCATTTACCACTTATTAAGATTGTGTATTCGAGCATGCGCATCGCAATTTGTTTTACTTACACTTTGTACACGTGCAGAATCAACAAACGGAATTAAGGAGAGTAAACCATTGTTGACAAAGTGTTATCAATTGTGTAAAATACAAATTAGAATTTATAATCATACGTGGAGTGTATTTGTGTGCAATTTTTTCAGAGTGTTACTATTTAAAGCTGCCTTAGAATAAAATAGAATTGAAATGGGGATTAATTTCAATTAATATTTAGCTCGAGTGAAAAACAGAAAAATATTCAAAACATGTCGTGAATTTTTCACGGAAGGAATTAAATCTATCAACAAACACAGCCAATTTTTATTCAATTGTTTGTAATTATTTTAAGTCAACAGAAAATAATGAATTTAGCCGACTTCAGCTCCATTTTTTGTCTAGTAACATACTTGAAACTGTGTGAAACATATCAAGGAATTATACCAATAGGTAAGAGAAATTTTGTGTTAAAATGTTTGAATAAATTATTAGTGACTACCAAAATAAAAAAAACTGTTGTATTTTAACAGCGATGTGTAGATTAATAGTGTCCCTATTATTTCCATAGTTCTGTAAAGTGTAATTTATTTCCGTTCATCAGTTTATTTCAGTCGTTCTTCAGGTATCATTTTATTTCATCAGTCCAGTAAGGTACAGACCAGTCGTTCTTCAGGTATCATTTTATTTCATCAGTCCAGTGAGGTACAGACCGGTAGTTCTTCCGGTATCATTTTATTTCATCAGTCCAGTAAGGTACAGACCAGTCGTTCTTCAGGTATCATTTTATTTCATCAGTCCAGTAAGGTACAGACCAGTCGTTCTTCAGTTATCATTTTAGTTCATCAGTCCAGTGAGGTACAGACCAGTCGTTCTTCCGGTATCATTTTATTTCATCAGTCCAGTAAGGTACAGACCAGTCGTTCTTCAGGTATCATTTTATTTCATCAGTCCAGTAAGGTACAGACCAGTAGTTCTTCAGGTATCATTTTATTTCATCAGTCCAGTAAGGTACAGACCGGTAGTTCTGCCGGTATCATTTTATTTCATCAGTCCAGTAAGGTACAGACCAGTAGTTCTTCAGGTATCATTTTAGTTCATCAGTCCAGTGAGATACAGACCGGTAGTTCTTCTGGTATCATTTTATTTTATTAGTCCAGTGAGATGCAGACCAACTGTTCCAAGTATCAGTTTATTTCATCAGTCTAGTAAAGTACAGACCAACAATTTTGATTTTCCATTAATTTTGTACACGTCAGTTACCATTCTTGTTAGAATAAGATTGTTCATTCTACAAGTTTTACATTTGGCAAGATTCCGTTAATCCTCTAGGATTATAATGAATTCTTTAAATTTTAATTTTCTTCAGAGTAGGATTTATACTTTCGCTGTTTAATCGGGTTAACATTAGTTCTAATCCTCAAATTGTCCATTGAAAATTTCGAGTATCCCCAATAATAAAAGTTCATGATCTTTTATAAATCTGTTTTTAGAGAGTATTCTCTTCAAGTTTGACATTTATCTGTTTATCATTCGTGCTGCTGAAAGAATTTCATCTTTGTCATTCTGACATCAAAAATATATTTTTAACCAATTGCTGATGGCTAAATATTTTATGGGCTGAATGTTGAACAGACCCATGTCATTTTGGTGCCATGAAGTTAATTCTGACCCATGTAAAATTCGATAAAGATCATTGTCAGTGGACTAATTTGTTATAATTCCCTTGTCCTTCTTTCTTGTGGATTAGGTGTCTTGTGTAATTCCATGAAACACGGGTTTGTTAGTAAGGTAGTTGGCTATTCATCAGGCGTGTTTTCTATTGCCAATTGTTCAATTACCCTACAGTTCCGCCGAAGGTCACGAATGACAGGAACGTGACATACTTGGCATTCTTGAAATTACAGAAGAAAAATTTATGGCGTGGTGAAGAATTCCTCTCTCGTAATAGCAATCTCTTGCATTCAGTATGGTGTGTGTGTGCTGTGGATAATGCGAGTCAAATTTCAAGATATGTCTTCATTATTCAACTTGCATTTTAAAGACACAAATGGAATTGAAGAAATGTTTTGGACGGTTTGAAACTTAACATACAAGAGATGGAAAAATGAAAAAATGATAAAATCCTTTTTCGAGTTCCATTGAAGACAATATCGATAGTATTTTTGTAAGCAGATCTTTCCAAAAATGCTTAAATAAACGTCATAATGACCGCAGCTCAAACCTATGTACGTTACTAAAAAAAGCATATTTATATTCACAGTAAGTTGTTTCGCGTGAGGGATGCCTCCTCGGTGTGAAGTATTTTGTGTTTTCAGGCTCACACATCTTTTGATGTTAATAACAACCCCCTTCTCAACTGTATAAACCTCGGATACAACCAGCGTGATTATTGATATAGTGCTGGAAGATAAATTAATCATCATTTTGCCCAGAATTTATCGCAGAATTATCACCAAATATTTGCCGATAATTAGTCTGCTAGAAGATTTGTGACAAACCGAGATAAGATCTACTCCCTCGGGCATCATGATTTACCATTATTTTTATTTCTGTATTAGAACAATCAACTTTACCTCTTAGTAGTTGTCAGTTCTAAACTGGCTGACGATTCCACACTTTAAATTATATCCTAATAAAATGACCAATTAATTTATAGATAAATAGTTAAGAAACAGTTCAATATCGGATAAAAACATTTTTAATAAAAAACACAAGTTGTACTGTAAATAAATACTTTGGAAAGTTGAGAAGAAAATTTAATGTAGGTTAAGAAAAAATGTACTCCCAAAAGTTCCAAAGATTTGAACCGCAAAAGGAAACCCGAAACACTAAATAACAGGTTGGCAAGACAATGGGCAATACCTGCAGCAAATAACTATAAGTAAATGTTTTTCATGATATATTCTGCCTGTTATTACAAAAATAATATGACAAATTAGATAAATTTCACTTTTCCTGAGGTTGCTTCACATGTGCAGCGAGTTCTGTTGACATGAGTCAAACCAACCAGGTACAAGAGTGTTAACAGTCGACAAACTTGATCCTAATCTTTCTGGTCTGTGTAATAGTACATTATTGGGACGGCTTTATAGCGTGGGAACTTCCAAAATAGTTCAAAATATATCATCTCTAACTCTTGTTTGTTTTGAAATATTCTATGACGTTCTGAATATATTCTTCTCTTTCTGTCGTGATCGATTCCTTACAGTTCCACCGAGTTCCTCCCGAGAACAATTACATATTACACTACACTGAATTAATGTTAGGAAAATACACAAGTGAATTGATAATAAATCGTTGAAAATCTCTCGAGCAAGAAAATATTCACCAAATTATTTCTCTAAATTCATTTTTCATTTCGCTTTCGATAACTAATGTTTTCTTCGTCCATTTAATTTCGTCTAACTTCCAATATTTATCCATCACAGCGAAAACATTTTAAGATATTAGATCTTCAAGCTAGACGTTTTTTAATACATTAAAATATATCTCACAATAATTGTATTTTGAGAAATTACCAGTTAGACTTAATCTTGACGAAGCAGGTTTTGGATGATTTTTTTGTACATTAAAATTACTAAGTTATCATTGGTGTCCCAAGTTTGATGTTGGTCATAGCAGGCTCTCATTCCAAAAAATCATCATGCGCTATTTTGCACTTCAGACTGTCCAGAAAGAAAAACCTTACTACTGAACGCGTCATGTAATTTGAAAGCAAGATAATCAGTAACAGTAGCATGTTTTAGCACAAATCTTTACATCACCGATTTGGTTGCTGAGGAAGTAATTTTTAATTAAAAAAAAAAACAACCACTAACGATTCGAAATCCAAAACAACATATTGGCGATACATTGGTTGCAGCTATGAGCATTTCATATGAGGAAGTATATCAATGAAACCAGGTTCGAACTCGTTTTACTTCACAGTATTATGCTTGAGTTTGTTATTCAGAATAATTTCTATTTACAGGTGGAATATTTGACAGAGATGACCACACCTCCCAGAAAGCCTTTGAATATGCCATCAAAAAGCATAAAAGTCGATTTAAAGACCCGTTTTTTGAATTCAATGTGACTGGTACGATAGATAAAATTAACATCAACGATAATTTCCAACTGGCATCAGCAAGTAAGTTATTGAGCCTTAGTTTTATCTAGTATAAAGTTTAGTACAATCTGAAAATCAGAGGTACAAGCTCCTAAGAAACAGCAAGTGGAGATCTAAATCCGTTATCCCTACTAATCATAGCATCACCAAATAAGTCATTGATATAGTCATATATATGTGTATGCTCGGAGGTTCTAGCTCTGAACATACCGCAAGACTTAGTGAAGATGCGCACCCACCAACACCCCCCCTCCCCAGCCGAGAATGGATCTTATACCACTGCCTGTGTTTTGGAAAGTTGGATCTTCACAATGCCTACTGATTAGTCCATTCAAAAGTCCATTGTGCAGATCTTTCGTTTATGCTTATGAATTAATTATCAGGTGCTCGGCTCTAAGCCAGTTGAAGAACTAGAACTATATTTGCGTTCATTGCCCTGTGTCATCAGTGGCTTTGTGTACACGATTAAGACTGATGATTGTGTTTTGATTTCAAATGAAGGTTTCTGCCACTGTTTCATATTTATCGAACTCAGTGATAGACAAAATGTGATTAATCTGTATGAAAGCTATTTCCCAATGGCTTTCCCACTAGAATTACAGGGAAATTTACTATATTTTAGTCAATATCAAATAGCAGTTTGAAAATCCCTGAAGATTTCTCTCCGGTTATAAACGTATTAACTTTCCTCTGAATCAAATCTTTTATGACATAAATGGATTACTGTCCCGCACTTCAATTTTCAAAATGGCGGAAGCTCTTCAGCAATAAAGTCTATTTCTGTCCAGTGCAATTAATATATTATATGAAACGAGATTGTGAAAGAATAATAGGGTTTTGTTTTGACTTCCGATTAACTGCAATGTAAGGGTAAGCGTTTCGACTGATGGAATAAGTGTAAGCTTCATTTAAGCATAAATTGTCTCAAAATATGAACTTTAATACGTCTGATTAGACAAGGCTTCCTTCCTATCCGAACTTCAGGAACTAGTCTAGTATTGTCAAGGGAAAGCCAGTAATTACAGACGTATCCTGCTATTAGAAACTCGATTTGGAATCTTAATTATTTTCATCCAATATACTGCTATGATTTCTCACCATTCGTGAACATATGAAGATATACGAAGAAATACGATTCGCGAATCTTTGAACTAAATAAGAAAACAAAATATTTTATCAATCAACATACACTGACTATTAATTAACAATTTCGTGGAGCCACTGGATTCACAATTGATGTCTTTAGATTCAGAAATCATCTTCACAATGTCAACCTATTACCAACTGCATCTTTACAATGTCAAGCTATTACCAACTTCATCTTCACAATGTCAAGCTATTACAAACTTCATCTTTACAGTGTCAAGCTATTACAAACTTCATCTTTACAGTGTCAAGCTATTACCAACCTCATCTTTACAATGTCAAGCTATTACAAACTTCATCTTTACAATGTCTAGCTATTACAAACTTCATCTTCACAATGTCAAGCTATTACAAACTTCATTTACAATGTCAAGCTATTACAAACTTCATCTTTACAATGTCAAGCTAATACCAACTTCATCTTCACAATGTCAGGCTATTACAAACTTCATCTACACAACGTCAAGCTATTACCAACTTCATCTTTACAATGTCAAGCCATTACCAACTTCATCTACATAACGTCAAGCTATTACCAACTTCATCTTCACAATGTCAAGCTATTACAAACTACATCTTAACAATGTCAAGCTATTACCAACTTCATCTTCACAATGTCAGGCTATTACAAACTTCATCTACACAACGTCAAGCTATTACCAACTTCATCTTTACAATGTCAAGCCATTACCAACTTCATCTACATAACGTCAAGCTATTACCAACTTCATCTTCACAATGTCAAGCTATTACAAACTACATCTTAACAATGTCAAGCTATTACCAACTTCATCTTCACAATGTCAAGCTATTACAAACTACATCTTAACAATGTCAAGCTAATACCAACTTCATCTTCACAATGTCAGGCTATTACAAACTTCATCTACACAACGTCAAGCTATTACCAACTTCATCTTTACAATGTCAAGCTATTACCAACTTCATCTTCACAGTGTCAAGCTATTACCAACTTCATTTTTACAATGTCAAGCTATTACCAACTTCATCTTCACAGTGTCAAGCTATTACGAATTTGTCTTATTCCTTGACTGCAATAGCTACCTTAAAATTATTTAGCTGTATTCGCTAACGAACAACAATCAAACCGGTGCATTTCATTATAAGAATGAAATAATGCAGAAACACCTAATCAATGCAGAAACACACCATCTTCTTGTGAGCTCTTCAGCCATGGCTTTTCATCATTGCAGTCAAGGTACAAGTCGAGGTTCGTAAAATCTTGATATTGTGAAAATTATAAGACGAAGTTCGTAATAGGTTGACATTGTGAAGATGTATAAGATGAAGTTGGTAATTGCTTCACAATGTAAAAAAGACTAGGTATAAATGATGCTTCTAGAGGTAATAAATTGGTCAATTATGAAGCTACAATAGAATGTAGTAGCCCAACATGATGTGGTTATCTTAGACTATAATTGAGCGATTTATAACAACCAGTATAAGACCTATAATAGTCATATTGGTTTTTCTCAAATTGGTCTGCAGTGCTTATTATCTGTAGTCAGTGAACTTAATGGATGTTTACCTTTGGGCTTTAAGATAATATTTGTGTTGAAGACTTTTTAAAACCGTTTTATCAGCTATTGGATGCGTCATAGACTATACACGTATAATCAGAATACTTCAGTGGAAATCCGCGAATAGACGAGGTGCGGTGTACGATGCGGAATTATCGAAACAGTAGAAAATAAAACAAGTGAACACACTTACGTGCTGTACCGTACAAATGTAACCGACAGTGGCGGACGGGATGGGGGGGGGATGTGGGGGGGATGCCCGCTCCACCACTGGTAACCGATGACACTGATAGTCGGAGAGTCTCAAGTGTGTCTCCTTGTTGGACAGAATACGTTGGCACTGGTAATCTGCTAGTTACAAGCATTATAGGTCTGTTCAACGGATGGTCCATAAATACGACTAAAGAATGCAATTGACTGTTTACGTCAACATTGACACTTGAACAATTACATTGCAAATAAACAATTTCATCAATACATTTGTCTGAATGAAAAATGTAATCAATTTTATAACATTTATCTTGCCTTCTTGTAAATCATTAAAAATACACAGTATATTGAATAGTATCTATATATCGTGTACCTAACACTGAGATATTTACAGGCATTATTAGAACATTGGAGTAAATGATTCTGTAAGGCATGCTATTCCCAACTAAGGAATCGTCCACCTCATCGCCAACATCACATTGAATATAATTGTATAATGCTTGAATAATTCCTGATTCAAATTGTTTCACGATATGACAACATGATTCATAGACGAATAGCTTTTAATATCAATTTGTCGAGCAGGAGGGAGAATAAAAACACAGGAATCACGGTATGATAAATCTTGTCATTCGATGAGGAAAAATCCATCGGAATTGTCGGTTTCAATTCAGTAGATTCCGGTGAAACCCATTACAGATTTTTTGAACAATGTATTTAACTGCTGTCATCAAGCATGAATTTAGAATATTTTCTATTAATTTTATATGGTTGATGATAAGATAATACCATAATATGTTGGCTACTACAACCCCCTGTAGTTAGGTAATTTCCATTTACTTTTCATTATGAAATGCTTACTTACTCCCTTATGGTTGATATACTTCCACATGTATAAAGTTTCATGAGCTGCTACATTACTGACAAAATGTTGTTGGATTTCGGGTTTCGTTTTGGAATTCGGATCGTTGGTTTTTGGATTATTTATTGACCAATTATTACGTCTAGAAGCATCGAGCACCTAGTCTGAATATAATATACAATGTGTATATTTACTGATGTGGAATGTTATTTATTAATTGCTTTGTGGTTGCTGATAAACACGATTTTATAATATGGCTCTGTACTCTGTAAAACTCTGTAATCTGACCGGATATTAAAAAACATTAAAAATCAATTTTAGTGGTTGATCAATCAGAGATCTAATATCATCTTTGGTCAAGTTTTTGAAAATAAGGCTCTTGAAATGATATGGACATTTACGACCTGATGTGCAACAAGAGGAACTGGTTTTCTCTTATTTCTCGATTTCCTAATAACGTAGGATCAAGTGCGCAACCTCTAGGGCACGGTGCTTTGGATTGCGATTTTACCTAACAGACTGCACGATTTTAACATGTCAACCCTTCCGACCTTCGTTGAATTGTAGGAAAGATCAGCACAAATTCTCCTCAACCAACGACTGGATAATTTCATAGTAAATAGTTCTCTAGGTCGTTATTATTTTAATACCAGACTTTTTCTCATTTCAAAGCTTAAAGAAGAGAAATAATTCAATTTTCTTTCAGCATTACTACACGAACCAGCTGCCGTGATCCTGGTCACATCTGTAGATACGTTCGTTCAAAGCAAATAATTGGCAATCACATGCAATGGTGAATTTCTTTTCAAGTCATTTCACTGTCTTGGCTCGAGTTAAAGAAATCCATCACACGTTATTAGAAATACGATCTTCCTTCTTGAATTCTCTTAAGAATTGAATTTTTTTGTTTTTGAATCTTTGCGTGTCACGATATTCCTCTATTATATTCCTTGACATTTAAGTCAGGGAGAAAAGACGGATATATGAAAAGCGAATTTTAAATGTTACGTTTTAATACATCATACAGGGCATCATTATAAAACCCTATTTTCTTCAGGAGACTTTCAGTATAATAAAAATTATGGTGATAATTGCATATTCAATTTCACACAGATATTTTCATATTGCACATAAATGGAGAGACAATTTAAGTGCGAGACTTGTACATTGAATCGATTGCATAAAGAACGAAAGATACAACCATTTTGTAATAGAGACCAAACCTAATCCTTAGTCAAACATTTTGCTTTGATTCTTCCCAAATTATCTGTACCCATTTACGGTTGTCGACTGGAATTATGGGGAAAGATGACTGATCCAAGATCACCAGATATTCACATACCGACTGAGACTAGAATCCACGACCATTTGTACGACGTAACACAAATTTAATGGCATTATTCCAGCGCTCTTTGCATCCGCCTATGCTTATTAATAATAAACGTAGATTATTAGATACTATGCTATTCAGAACGACAATTTACTCTAATGTAAAAACAATTCCAATTTACACCCATATTAATATAAATCTCGTCCTCGACAATAATTACCTTTCTGAATTGATGTGAATAGAAGGAAAACGCCGATATAAAAGTCTTCTTTTAATATCCCTGGAGATCGGTATCTTGTTAAAAAAGAATTAGTCTTGCCAAGTCAGCGAGAAATTCATCCTACTGTTAAACCGATCGTAAAACAAAACATTTTCTTGATAGAGAAGGATAAGATGAAATCGTGATGATTTTTCAGAATTTTCTAGTTTGATTCTCAGCAGGCTTTACAGACGGACTGCGAAGTTTATTTTTTATCATTTTTGGCAAGAACGCGATTTTTAAAGGCGATCAGAAGAACGAATGAAGACAGACAATACCATTCAGTGCCCAATGGGAGGAATCTGTCCGTACGGTGTTATTCTTTATTTTTATTTATTTGTAACTGTGGAGAGATCTTTTCAGAGCATTTCAACGTTAATTGGTGGCTCAACTACCTTAGGGGCTGGTTGAGTCATGTCCACGGGGCCCAACCCAAGAGCAAACATACCAGCCCAGTAAGTCCACGGGCCCCCACTCATCCAGTTTATTGGTTATTAAATCCTCAACATCTGCTAGGATTAAACCGATGACCTCTTGATTTGTAAGCAATAGAATATATCATTCCTAGACGCATAAGAATACAACCTGTGTTCGTGGTCGAGAAGGTGTCCGTTTTGCACCTACTTATCGTACATTTAAACATGCTTTCTCTAATAACAAGCAGGCCATACAGAAAAATATGAACATCGTTAGTTTGTATATTAATAAGCAAGTCTAGACGAAATCCTTTAGTTTATGAGGCGCCTGAGATAGCGAATAGTTTCATGAGTAAACTCAATTTCCTGCTAACTTTATATTGCCTTAGCTTACTATTATGACCATTAGCATCAACGAAGCATAAGACTTGAACATCGTAACGGATAGGGATTAACATTAACAGTGATGCTTATATAGGCGATCATTTCATACTTGATAACGCATTACTTTGTGAAGCATGTTCTCTTTTCTTTTTGTTCACACTTCCGGACACTTTATACCACTGTGCGTCTCTTGGAGTTTGTCAACAAGGCATCTCCTATATCTATTACTACATGTTTAGCATATTATTTTGTGAAATCTTCCTTCAGAAGAACAGCACAGAACGTTTTACCAATTAATGGTAGGTCTGGTACGGTATTCTGAAAGACATCGTTAGGTGAAATGACATGATTCCTTCAGAAGAACAGCACAAAACGTTTTACCAATTAATGGTAGGTCTGGTACGGTCTTCTGAAAGACATCGTTAGGTGAAATGACACGATTCCTTCAGAAGAACAGCACAAAACGTTTTACCAATTAATGGTAGGTCTGGTACGGTATTCTGAAAGACATCGTTATGTGAAATGACACGATTCCTTCAGAAGAACAGCACAAAACGTTTTACCAATTAATGGTAGGTCTGGTACGGTATTCTGAAAGACATCGTTATGTGAAATGACATAATTCCTTCAGAGAACAGCACGAAATGTTTTACGAACGGTTTGGTATTTCTAATATGAAATTTATTGACAATCGCAAATCCTCTGATTAGACAGGCAATGTGATATGTATTCTATAATAGTTTGAATTAAGCGAATCAAAGGAGAACGGAAGCTGGGTAATATGATGTCCCGCTGGCTGTACATTGAACCCGCACTTTCTAAAGACTTGGTTATCTTCAGGCAATGTTTTAACACGTATCTTCATGTGAAAAATGACAAGTCTAGTGAACAACTTAAGAAAAATAATGATTAAATTATTACACCATCGATTGAAGAACAGAAGTAGCTCCCAGTGCAGTCCAGTTCTCTAATTATTTTTTTGTGCTATTTGCTGTGTATTTTTATTTTGTAAAAATTCAGAAAATCGATGCCATGAGTTCTGGCATTTGGCGAATACGAAAGTATGACAAAACTAAATTCAAAATATTAAACGATTGTGATGTTTCTTTTAGATCAGTTCGTCTTGTGATCTCTTAACATGCTATCTTCCTCGCCAAGAGGAATCGGTAAACATTTAGCGTCAATCGCAAAATCGACAAGTTGTTACGTTTTATGATACTTTGCAGACTCGAAACCGTTGGCTGAATCTGTTCTTCCTCTGAGGGATGCAATATTCATTCAGCACCTTGTTAGTAGTTTTTAAGAATGAATCCTCATCTTTTGGCGGAAACGAATATTTACCAATTTAGCCTCATTCTCCAGATCATTCAACATGCTGATCCTGGTGACAAAGTGTACTATTTTCGAGATGAATTGGAACATTTATGGCGTACATGAAAATTAACTTGACGTAATTCTACAGCACTACAATCGCATGAGCTTCAACCCTCCCAATGATTAATAATAAAGATATTCATTTCAGTTTGCCGGCAGATGTCTGAAGGAGTATTTGCAATTATTGGTCAGAAGACAATGCAAACAGCAGATATTGTCCAAGCGTTTACTACGACATTTCACATGCCATATCTTACCCCTAGCCTATCTCGGGATACCATTAGAAAACATTCTAAATATGAGTTACATATGAAACCAGATTTTACACAAGCTTTGATTGAGATGATTAGTTTTCTCGAGTGGGATCATGTACATTATTTATACGATTCGGACGAAGGTAAGATTCAAACTGGCAAATATATAACACACCCCATTCTGGTGCAAAGTTATCTTGGTCATCATCCATTGATTTCAGATCTGTAATGCCAGTCAACGAAACTGTGATTAAGTTACACTAAGGGATAAACAATGTATAAACCTGCATTTCCATCAATACAAAACTTTCAGTTGAATAATATTTATGTGTAGAAGTAGGTACGCAGGCTGAAAATAGGTCAGCTGTCTGAAGATTGCATAGAGTAAAAGTCAGAGTAACAACGTGTGTTTTTTAGGTTCTGTTTTAAGTTTTCAAATATTTATGTTTCATTTATAATAGGTTTTTAAAGTCTACAATTGTTGTTTTCTTCGTTTCTCCTGTTGACAACCGAAATAATCATCTCTTGTTCGCACGAAATGGTCTAGCTACACTTCAAAATATAATTGTATATTAAGGAAAAGTTATCCTCACATTGTCGACGCAATGATCATTTATCTTCTGATCTATTTATGTGCATCTCTGGAAAATGATTTTCTTTATTATGCACTTACCTACTTTCAGGCATGATTCGCTTACAGAAGATGTTTAAATCGATGAGAAATGCGAGTATAGCTTGGTTTAACGTGAAACGATTTAACGATATACACCATGTACATGAAGATCTCCGCCAGATTGATCGTGGAGATATCAACGCTACTAAATCATTCGTCCTAGATCTTTCTTCTGAAGAAGCTTATAAGATAGTTTTAAAACAGGTAAGGCAAGTCGAATGTATTTGTCACAAAGAATGTTTGTACTTCGATTCTTAAATTAAATTACCGTCTGTGTAAAAATGCAGATGTGTCGTGTTTGGTTTTCTCCACTTGCTATGGTGATCTGGCGCAATCGTTTTGCACCACCAGTTCAAGGTTTCTGCGATATCCACCCAATCAAATGCCCTGTTCTATAATGGCTACCATGTTAGAAGAATTTTAGAATAAATTTTGATCCTATGGTCTGAACAGTCTAACAGAACAACATGAAAAGAGGAATTTCTTCAGATCGTGAATGACATGTTAATCCACTATAGCAGTTGACACATACCCGATAATAGAATAATTATTTACAACATACAAATCTGTGTAATCAAAAAAAAAAAGAAAGCATCCGTGAAACAAAGATGACAAATTGGGTGATGTGATGAAGATCTTTCAGAATGACAGAACTAGGGGTCCTTGAAAGGAGAAATAGTTCTCTGTCCAGTGCATTGTACCGTCGATAAAATCGTCATTTTCGGTTTGATGGCGATTAGAAGTATTTTAGAGGTGCTAACATGTTACCAATGGAAGTTACGAGATTTCATTAGTCCATAGCATATTTCAATCAATGATGTATCTGACTTGATATCTCGGCTTGATGCATTGATGTATAAACAAGTTTAGCGGACTATCAAGAACGTGACATTTCCCGCTGTTTTCAGCTATCCTTTATTTTCTTTTGTCCGATCTCTAACACTACTTCAGTCAATATTTCCGTATAATAGAGAAACATTTCTCTTACTTAAAATATAATGATCAAATATATTGATACATATACATGATGACTCTGCTGGTGTGTAATATTTTTATTCAACGTATCAGCTTAAACCTAAAGCTCTAGTTCAAGTTAAAATGCTTCATGAATTTGAACTCTGCTACAAGGCGCACTCTTGGAGGAACTGATATAAAGATCAAACTACAAAGATCCCGAAAAAATTCAAAATGTTAATCACAGGTTGAAAACCCCTGTACTAGAAAGATATGCAAATTGATAATGATTTGTTTGACAGGTATGAATTGATCTGGTTGTTGCTCATGTTTTTTTTCCATTGTGGTAGTGGCGGGTGTCAGAACATGCTTCTTCTTTTCGAAACACCTGATGGTACTTCTCTTTGGAGGAGTCCACTACTATATAACTCTGACTCTCGATTTTACCACACTTTGGATGAGATTTTGATTAACGGATTTGTCATGCTTGTACGGATTTTTATACAATGTATGTTTCTAAAACGAGAAAGCAGTCTCATATCATGATCGACATTTTCGACTGCAGAGGCATTTGTTCACATGAAACCATACTCTAAATTTAATATGCAAGATTTTCTTTTATTAAAAATCGAATGCATCGTCTATCCATAAAAAAATCCGAGATAAACATGTGCAGATTAAATATTAAACTGTTGAATATTAAAATAAAAGAGCTAATAATACGAGTAATTTGCTTGTCTCTAACAGAATATATAATCTAATATAAAAAGATAGATTGCTTTATAATTTTAGACAATTGACGTCTTCCAGTTCTCGATCTTTCCAGACACCAGTACCTCGTTACAAGCATTAATTTGATCAGTAGCCGTGCTTCAGAGTCTTAATTACATTGCTATGAGAAAAGATAAATTTGCGTGACCTTTAAAGAAACTCGACAGACTTATTTGCCTAATATGGAGATATATTGCAAAACAGACTTTTTTTTATAAATGAATATTGATAAAAACAATAATGACCAACGCACACATATATGGAAACCCCCAAAAGTAAACAAATCCGAATATTACAAATTCCAAATAAGCTCCAATCCCTGTGATGTGATTTCAAAACACTCGGAGCTTATAAGGAATGTTGCAACTTAAGCATTGCCGATTATTGCACCAATAAAAACATTTTTTACACCGCAATCTTTTTGGGAAGCATCTCGTAGAAACTAACTCGATTAGATCTTAAAATGCAATTCATACAAAAACCTTATCATGGCAAAATATATTCGTTACAAAATGCTGAAATTATTTAGAATATTCGGACCAGGCCTCAAATAAATTTACTCATTTCTCAATATTGTAATCTTCAAGTTTAAAGCACCTTCTAGACAAATCATGGAAACCAGCAATACTAAAAAACATAAATTGTAAAAATCCGAGTCTTAAAGCGCTAAGAACCTGTTAGATAAAAACCCACGAAGTTCAAATCAGAAACATAATATTTCAATTTACGGTAATGTTCGTTTTGATGACTTGATCAAAAGCCATAAATAAGATAGTTTGTGAGATGTATTAAGATTTCTTTACTTTCAATCATTGGAAAGAGCGACAAAACTTTATTAATACTCTTTGACCTCGGGTAGCACTTAGTCAAGATAATAGGTTGATATTTGTATCTTTGTTTAGGCCAGGAATTCTCGACACTCTACTATCACTTTGTGTCTGATCTGACTAATAGATTCTCTAACAATCAATAGAAACCACCCACCACGATTTACAAACTTCCAGACTTTCAAACGATCCTTTCTATTTAAGGAAGTAGACAAAATTTCTCCTTTTTTGTTTTTTTTTTGTGAAAGACAGTTTACAAAGTTTTTAGACAGTTGGGGCTTTGTTGTGTTGATTCTTAGAAATTCGTTTCTCCAAATTATTTAACTGCATATTCTGTTAGTACCTCGTCTGAAGGAAGGATAATATCCCTTCAAAACGAATTTTAAAGAGTGTCACTATTTTCTCTGGGTCATGAAATAGCGATCTTCGAGTTATATGTCTATAAACACTATTTGAAAATAAATCTACGAGGTACAAATTGTGAAAATATCTAATGTCCCTATATATCTAATTTTCTGTTCTTCGTGTGATTGAGCTTTTGGTAACTGCCAAACCCAAGAGGTGTGTAAATAGGGAAATCGGCCACGACATCGGTATTACCTCTGTAGATGGTCTGAAACGTATTGGAGATTTTTGGCTCATCAGAACGAACTTCTTTGGTTGAAGATGCAATAATCTTTAAGAAAGCCACATCTAACCGTCTTTCTTTGGTTGAAGATACCATGATCTGTCCATTAACGATCACTTCATAGAGTCAAGGCTAAAATAACTAGTGGGATGTCGAAGGTTAAAATCATCAGGATTTTCGACCTATTATCGACATAACTGGCTTGGTTTGTGAATTTGGGCTTCGGGTTAATAGATAGATTATCAATATTTATTGCCATCAGTTCAAGAAGGTGTCATAACTATTCCATATCTGTAAATCACTTGGATTTTCCATGTTTATTCTCATTTATAACTTATAATTGGAACGGGAATTTTGTATTATAAGAGAAGTTCGCGGCAGATTCATGAAAATTGGTATTAACTTCTTTCTCCAACCATTCACAAACCTATAATAAATAGATTCAATTTTGCATTTTCCAATATTACTACTAAGAAGACTAAACTAATGCTGAATTTTTTAGAAGATATTTTAAGGTCTGCTGAGAGGGAGTGCTATATGAATTATACTTTTTAGAACAAATCTTTGCATCTATGTATGGTTATCTTGGTGTGAATGACATCACAGAATCGGTTCAACGTTCAATCTCCTTTCCCTTTGTTTTAAGGCCATAAAGCTGCAATGTTGCGGCATTGCGATTCTTCGCGTTAAGGTCATGACACAGCAGTGCTGTTTTCTGTGATCCCACGTTGACTCGAATGTTCCTTCGAGATAAGGTCATAACGCACCAATGTTGTTGGCTGCACTCAGACGTCAAATCTAACGATTCTTTGCGTTAAGGTCATGACGCATCAGTGTTGTTTGCTGCGATCCCACGTTGACTCGAATGTTCCTTCGAGTTAAGGTCATATCGCAGTAGTGTTGTGTTCAGCAATTAGACTTTATTTGCAGCTCGGTACCAATTCCAAACTCAATGAATCACGGATAAAATGTTTAAACAAAGACAATTACTAGGAAGCTAATAGAGAACCGCTAAACGGCTGATGTTAAATCTGCGAATTTCTGACAATAAACTTTAAGATAATAGCTAGTTGACTTGACAGGGAATATTTTAGACTTGTTAATATCCTCGCATTTGTATTGATCGTTGTTTCAACTTTGTTAAATGGTTTTTTTTTTAACGCTGTGTATAATATCAGACTGCATGTACAGGTTTTCACACTAATAACCGGTTTTCACATGCTAATTCTGACGCTTATTTTATCCATGGAGTGTACTTAATGTATTCACAGCACATTTAAATAAAACAGAAAAACAATTCTTTATTCTATATAATACAAAATAGCCGCATCTGTAAATATTTATAGGCAAGATAAAACGGTATTGGAAGCTGATGGACAAGTCAACGAAGGACAGATTTGGCGTTTGATCACAAATCAGAGCAACACTGCCTCTCAATGTCATATATGTGACATTCCATATTATTTCCATAGCAATAGCTTAAAGTCATTTAACTTTACTCATGTTGAAGACGAAATTTTCCATGAAATAACTATCAAAATTGAAGACTCTATATTGCACATTAAAGGCGAAAATTTATAGCTTTTATCCCATTAAGTGAAGTCTTTATAGCTCAGCTTGCCATTTTTTACTGCCACAATTTACGATGTAACGCGAATTGCGTGTGACTAAAACAGAAATTTCCTTCCTAAATCACTGCATTCTGACATTTTTTTGCAGTTCAATTCCAAGTCGATATTTTTTAAAAATGGACTATAACTGGATGCTCTAGACAACTGATTTGGTTATGCGCTCTGCACAGTGTCAATTAGAAATCAGTAACTTTTTAAACCGATTCCATTTTTTTAATATATATGATAAAGGAAGTTACTCGAAATATCGACCTTGCGTGAATCAAAAATAATTTTACAATGGAAAGGTTCTAGTCACTCCCTTTGTCTTCGGATTCAAGTAATAATGATAATTTCCACATTTCATTTAGTAATAGGAAATATTTCCTGAACTAGCCCCAGGGAAGTTTTTTTTTTATAAAACTTAAAAACAAAACTTAACACTGGTTGATTACTGATTACATCTGGAGTTGGTATCTGATATTTTCCACTAAACCTTGGCTTCGACCTCAAATACAAACAGGAGACTAATTATACCGGTATTAACATGAAGTCTTACAAACGACTCATCTTTAAGAAGCTTATAAAGTGTAAGTGACAGCTGCCACTACCAACTAAATTCAAAGTTGATATTTCCAGGAAGATAACTGACAGGATATCCTGTTTTGAAGTTAAAGAATTCCGTCACCTGCCTGCAGCTCAGACGTATTATTAACTTCATGATCGTAGTCAATCTTAATGACCTATTATGATGAATTCATTAATTGAATCACGTCCGATTAATTTCCACAATTAAATTTCTTAAGATTGCATGTATAATACTGCTGATGGTCAAGGCGGGTCAGAACGCAGCTCCTATTCTGAGATGTTTGATAACTATTATAGTCTATGGAAAATTGACATATTATGGTGAATTCATTAACTGAATTACGTCCATTTAATTTCAAGCTCCGCAATTAAATTAGTGAAGACCACTGTAGTATATTGATGTTTTAGCCCAGTTGAATAACCTTTTATATTGACTGACATTTCAATATACATCATAAAGTTATACATTGTTACAATTCATTCATATTCCACAGTTGTTAGGGCATTATTATAACTTCCTGTGAATCATCCAATCATATGTGTAATAGTACATGTGGTCAGTTCTAAGTTTGCCTTCTTTTAATTAAACATGTCTTTTAAACTGTTCTGGTTTCATTGACAATATTAGCTGAGATTAATTTGTTCATAACTTTATAAAATATTGAGAAGTAAATATATTACAACGATGTCGGCGTTAGCAAAGGAAACATAACACTGGTGATGGTTAAGGCTACTCTTTTCCAGAAACTTTTGATAACTATGACAACTATTTTTTTTCGAATTTCGAATCAACTGTCTTTTAAAATAAAGGATAAGTCCTGTCAGACATCCCTGTTTTATTTATGGATATAAAACTTCCATTTATCCCTGTTGGTATTGATAAAGGTTTCTTTCAGATAGCACTTGACTTTGCTGTGATCTTTTTTTGATTTATTTTGATATCGAAATTACTATTCTGCTTCCAGATTCCTGAAGTTGGAATGAATAAATACGGCTACAATTACTTACTGGGAACATTGGTAAGTACAGTTACTTTTTGGCTATTTGAGTTGCAAAGTTACTTCTACATGATGTCTATTTAGTGTTGAAAGACTAATTCTGCTATCCGTGTGGATCAAAACTGTTTTGGGTAGCTAAAAGCCAGGCAAAATCATGTGTTATTGACAAACTATACAATCTGTAAATACATGTATATCATCTAGAATTTTATACAATCAGGTTCAGGAAAGAAGGAAATAAAACACCATTGTATATTATTTCAGGATTTTAAAAGTTTAAATTTGTCTCGCTATCGACATGGTGGAGTCAATATAACTGGTTTTCAGTTAATAGACGATCAGAACAGCGACAATCGAGAATATTATAGAGAGATGAAGAAAATGAAAATAACATCATCAGGCTTTGATAGGAGAGAAACGATACCGGTAAATATGAGTATAAAATATAAAATAAAAACCTTCAGTAGCCCGCCATAACTGCTCAACATATACAACAAACACTGCAAATATGAAGGTAAAAACGACTTGACTTAGTGACTTTCTTACGCCAAGGGAAGTAACTGATCAAAATATTTATTTGTATATAGAATTTTAACAGTTCAAGGGAGGAAACTGATCATAAAAATTATTTTTTACAAAAAGTAGCATCAGTGAGGAAGCATTTCATAATGTCAAGTCGCACTAGGTCAGGAATTAGAACTGCATCATGATGAGTAGGCCAACTGTGGCGGGTGTCGCTAGTCTAGTAATGCATGCTCCTCATCTCTCACTTCCGTAACGTCTGGTGCTCAACTTGTCAACTCGACGTCCTCTGGAGTTTGTATCTATTAGTTGTTCTTATATTTGTTTATTTATTTTCTTGGAAGAAGGATGGGGGAGGGGGGGGGGGGGGGGTCGCGCGTATAAAAAGTTCTCTTGTTGTAGATTTATATGAAAATATATATTTTTAGTGGTGGCAACATTTTTCATTTTCCTATCACTGAAATTGCTTACTGTTCTTGTACATCAAAAAAGTAAACCATATTAATTTTATTAGATTTATGTTAGACATTTTGAACGCAAGATTACGTAAACTGAAAATATCTTTTGCTCCATTCCAGTCCAGTGCAGCGTTAATCGTAGATGCAGTTCTCTCCCTTGATGATGCCATCGAGTCCATGTTAGACAATGATACGGATGTATTTAGATATACATTCAGACGGAAACATGTATATAATTATAACAGAACTCGCGGAGTGCCCTGTACCACCGACCCCCCTACACCATGGATGCATGGCAATACAATTTATAAACTGTTACGAACGGTAAGTTTCAGAGAATAGTTGAATCATTGTTGCATCTTGGCAATGAAATACAGTCAAACCTGTATAGCCACTTGTATCCAGCACTTCCTTCCAATGAACAGCTACCAAAAATCCCCCCTCTGAATCTGAATAAAAACAAATGCCCTTTTTATTACCAAGCAACGAAGAACTCCCTTCGACAAAATCTGATATCTAAAAGTTTCAAAAAGCTTGAATGTGTTATTGTTTATTTTGATAGCGGAAGCCCCCTGGAGTTTCTGGCCAGTTAACATTTGATAAAAAGGGTTTTAGACAGGATTATAAACTAGGGGTTTATACCGTCAATTTGGAAACTGGGCCTTATAAGGTGAGTTTGTGCTTTTCTGAAATTATGATTACTAAAAGTTATGCAAAGATAGGGGTGGGAGGCGTGCAGAAAGAAATGCAGCTCCCCAATTAATGTATTCTTGGACACTGTCAACAACAGTAATACAAGGCAATACTTTTTTTTTATGGCTTTGTGACTTTTCATAGGAGATTTTCTACCATATCCTCTCATAACCCGTGATATAGTTTTGGGGTCTATGCCTATGTCTGTCGTTGGATTTATTTGCCGATTTCACTTTTCATAATTGACATTATGTAATTCCGGGTTTTATGATCTAATCAAACTCATATGTTATGACTACAATGTAATTAAGTTCCAATACAAGTCATATATTCCAATAATGTCTTAAATTAGGACGTAAAACTCCATTCATTTCATTGATTGCATTCTACTGTATAAAAGTAAAAGGATGTTGATATTAAGATAAGTCTTCCATATATTAACTGTTATCTAGCTGGGAACGTGGTCTTCGGGAATCGGGTTTAGAAGTATATATGATGGCAGTCGAGATAAAAACAGACATGGTTACAGACCGCTGAATAATTCTACCACAAAAGTTATAACCTCCATATTGGTGAGTTTAATTTAGATTCAAAATGAGTTTCTGGTTGTCACCTCGCCATTCGGTTCCATCCTTTTCAGAACTTCTGTTCATTTCATGTCGACTGTTCACTTATTTAGTCGACAGACGTTTGGTCATTTTCCTTGCTGGTTGTTTCTTGTACACGTGCCTCTGTTTTCCCTTGTGATTTGGGGAGCATTTATATGCAGTAGAAAATATTGCTTGTGTTCAGGTCGGTTTTGTCCTTGTGATATAATGAGCAATTATATGGAGTTATAATATATATAGGTAGTTAGAAATTTAGTTCATAAAACTTGTAAACGCTTAGTATTTTATGAGCTTCCCACCTATTACCTGTAAAGATACTAATTGTGTTTCAGTCCCCACCATTTCTAATGGAACAAACGCACGATGATGATGGTACTCCATTGATTGGCAACGACAGATTTTCAGGTACATCATAAGGGAGACGTGGTTCAAGTAATTCCTCGTTTTACTAAAAGCTAAACGGCAAAACTATTTAGTCTTAGAAGTATTCTTATAACAACATCGTTTGTAAAATTTAGTATGTTCTTTTTCTTACTATTGGCTTTATACAATAACAAAATTAATATCTTGTTCTAAGGGAGACAACAGTTATCGTATTGAGACCATTTTTATCTAAGACTTGTTTATAGCATTGCCATTTGTAGGAAAATAATGATAACCTTTACTTTGTTTTACAAGGTTATGCTAAAGATTTAAGTGATCACATAGCTAAACTATTAGGCTTTGAATATGAAATTCGACTCGTTAAAGACAGGAAATACGGCTCTAAAAATCCGAAAACTAAAGAATGGAATGGTATGATTGGTGAATTAATCAGGCATGTGAGTATGATTGATGGGATGCTAAAAGGAAAAAATGATAACAACATATGTTCACAAAGGATCTGTGGCATTGATCCTTCCCTAATTATCCGTACTCATCTACAGCTGGGTCGACTGGAATAATTAGTGAAGATGACAAGCGCGCCTATAGAGATTAGAACCTACAGCCATAAGAAGGTCCTTCATTTATTTATATTTGAAACACATCAACAGCGTAATGTCGATCTTTGCATTTCACAATTAGGACACAGCCCTGATTTGCATTACAACAAGGAATCATTCTACTAGCTGGAGCAACTCTCATGGCAACAGAAATCCAATGCTCCTTTTGTGATCTCAAATTGATTATATTTCAGGAAGCCCACTTGGCCGTAGCGCCATTAACAATTACAGCCGACAGAGAACGAAACGTAGATTTCTCCAAACCGTTTATGAACATTGGTATCAGTATTATGATCCGACAACCAGATAAACAAAAGCCCGGTGTGTTCTCCTTTATGGAGCCGCTCTCCTTCCAGATCTGGATGTGTATAATTGTAGCTTATGTTGGTGTTAGTGTTGGGTTGTTCTTGGTCAGCAGGTTTAGTCCAGTTGAATGGAAAAAAACTGAGAATGGTTTAGAAAGTTTCCGAAATGAATTTTCATTGATGAATTCATTTTGGTTCTCCATGGGCGCTCTTATGTTCCAAGGAAGTGACGCTTGTCCGAGGTATGTATACTGAACTGATTTGTGTCGTAGATAGTCAAAGTAAAGGTGTTATGTGAAATCGAGACAAATACGAGGTAATTGCACAAGAAGATATCTATGTCTTTTACCTAATAGACAAATTGTGGCTTTCAGGCCCAGAATCACCCATGGATCAGCAAAATAATAACTGACCAGCCACTTAAAAATAACTGGCAAACCACAGATTTATAATATATCATAGAAAATGGTCTTACATTTTATGTTTGTCGTTGTTTTCACCAGGTCTATATCAGGGCGTATAATAGGAGGTGTCTGGTGGTTTTTCGTTTTAATAACGATATCATCGTACACCGCTAACCTTGCTGCCTTCTTAACCATTGAAAGAATGTTAACACCTATTGAGTCAGCTGACGATCTGTCCAAACAAACTGAAATCAAATATGGAATGATCACTTCAGGAACCACTAAAGAATTTTTTAAGGTTTGTTGAGATATGATATTAACAGTGTCATCGTTCGAAACATTTGACACACAATCGAATACATCCTTTGAAGATTTTGATGTTCATCATGCCATTATAAGTCATCCTTCTTGTTCTATGGAGTTTTGTTTTGGGGTGAAATTTGCTCGACCCGTGTTACTAACCGCTTTGTAGTAATCCAAGCAATATTGTACGTTTCAGAACTCTGCCGTAGCTACCTACGCTAGAATGTGGAATTACATGAGCACAACACCAGACGTCATGGTCGAAAGTATACAAGAAGGAATTGATAAAGTGCGGAATTCCAAAGGAAAATATGCCTTTTTAATAGAATCGTCGAATAATGATTATGTTAACAACAGAAAACCATGCAACACTATGAAAGTTGGTCCCAATTTAAATTCTAAAGGATTTGGTATAGCAACTCCTCGGGGATCTGATATGAGGTAGGTCCTTGTAGCATTGGTTTTTCGTCATCAGCATCTCCAAGCAATATTGAAGCTCCAGTTCGAAAGTGTTGTCCGGACAGTTCTTTTAAATATATTATACATTTACTCTATTGTGGATAAATAATCTATTGTACTGATGGCAGATGGTAAACTCCTTTTCACCAGCTTGTCCGTAGATAATTTCTCTTTTAGTTCTAGCATGGTTGTTCGTCAACAGTAGCTTGTATTGATGCCACCGTGGTTGTTTTAAGTTGTACACCACTTATGTCTACATATTTGAGCATTAATCTTTTGTGAGAAATGTAGTGTTAGTAACTAAAAGTAAAACGTATTTTGAATTAGTGAAATGTGGATATAAGTGTATTTTTAGAAACTCAATGATGTTCCTGTAGCACCCGTCAGTAAGCTTGTATCATTTATTTTATGTCTGTTAAACATTTAATGGACTAATTAAACACTTTTTATTGTGATTTGACAACAAGTGTTTTATTGTAGGCATATTGATGGTACTCTCGATTTAGCCATATCGTGGACGAAATTTGAATAAACAGGATTTTCTTGGACTTTAACAGTGTTCTTCCATTGAACCTTTTAACTGTCCATTTGGATGTCTTCCAGCTGTTAAAATGTTTTCTCCTTCAGGGACAAGATCACTCTTGCTGTATTAACTTTAAAAGAGGATGGTACATTACATACCTTACATAGACGATGGTGGTACGAGAAGGGTGAATGTGGTATGGACGGTGGGTCGAAGGTAGGACATTGTACCACAGCGGCATCTAGTCGAAAACAAGGCGACTCTTATCACTTGCGTTGCTAAATGTTTAATAATGGTGGCCATACGAAGTCAGAAGTTCAGTCATCCATATAATACGTTTCCAGATTGAGATGAACGCAAGTCAGTTATCAACTCGCATTCCATACTCTGATCATGTACCTTTGAAATGACCAAAAAATCAGAAAACCAATGAGAAATGGGAATGGTGTTAATACACATTACAAAGACTAACATAAAAGCTAACATACCTCTTTTAGAGCACTAAAAGCAATAATAGTATGTGCAGAGGCAAGTTTCAAGGTTGTTCCCCACAAGATGCACACAAACAAAATCTGCTCAAGATGCTTTGACAACTGGCCATGCATACCATGGTAGTGTATCAATGTTTTCTGACTTATTTGTTTTTTTAGGACACAGGGAAACAGTCTCTATCATTAAGTAATGTTGCTGGTGTCTTCTATATTTTAATCAGTGGTCTTGTCTTCTCAATATTACTCGGAGTTTTTGAAGTTTTGTATTATAGACGAAATAACATGAAAGTAAGATTGTCTTCCTGTACTTCTAGTACCAGTTGTAATGATTGCTCATCGCATTCAGACCTTACTCTAAGTGATCGTGTATAACTGTACAACGTCAATTCATCACTACTAACGCTGGGTTGGAATACTGCCCTTCGTGGTCGTTTACCAGTTCCTTTGGTAGCGTGTGGGTTCTAGTTTCCGTTTCAGACCTTGTATCCTTTAGCTGAACGTTACACGGAACCTTGAGATTCTATGATCCAGATTTAGTATTACGATCGAAAGCAGTTAAACTAAATAACGACCTCTGAGGATTCAGCTCTAACATCAACATGTAAAACGTGATACGGAATTTAAACGTGAAGGTAGCGGAATTGCTTCGTTTAAGTGTTGATCATTGAATTTCTTTTCAGGGAACATATCTACGTGGGACAGAAACATCCCAAACTATCGTCAGTAGCACACCCAATGAAAGACCAGTAAACGATGATAGAGCACTACCTTACGAAAACTATAACAACGATAAATTTGTTTCCGAGGTGAGCAAAATTTATTCCAGGTCGGTCTTTGAAGGTTTTGGGTAACAAATGTCTTATCTGTGAGTACTAGAGGGAGGAATATGCCCGTATTATGAAAGCAAGTGACCCCTTGTGCTAGACCTTACCAGAGTAAAAATTAATAAAAATGATGTCATCGTCACCACAGAATTATCGTTGCCCGTTTTTATTAGATCAACCAGGAGCAGAAAGTAGAATGTACAAATTAATTTCATTTCATTTCATTTACACAATTTCTTTTAAATTTTGCTTTCAGTATACGTACAGTGCCCCGGGAACGATAGGATTTGACGGTTTTAATAGGGACGGATCTGTTCCAATAGGGTTTGAAGGTTACAACAGAGATGGGACGAGATCCATTGGATTTGAAGGAATAAACGGTGACAATATAAATACAGTGAATTGAGAGAAGCAACAAATAGATAAGACTATTTTGAACCGTTTTAAACAAGCATTTGGACTCCGTATACCCCTTAATTTTTTACGCCATCTGTTGTTACATAGCGAAAGTCATAAGCGAAAAATAGAACAAAATTTTCTTTCACAAAAGGCACAACCAGTATGCGGAGACAAATGACTTTTAAAATAGGTCGATAATTGTGATTACTGTTTTTTCTGAGAGGATGCCTGGGAGAGAGAATAGCCAAGGGGACGCGTATCGGATGCCCTTGGTGTAGTGGTTGAAGTTACCTAGGTTGGGAACCAAGGCTCTATCTACAGTGATGTATATTGCATGCTTGTGGAATTTATTGACCGTAATACTTAAAGTGAATGTATTGATTCAAAAATCGTGATTTGAAATCAAACTGTTTTTTGAATGCATGTACATGTATTTGACAGGCAATAGTCTTCATCCTTTTTTCAACGAAGCGCTAACGGAGACAAATCTAATAAGAATGTGTTTGTTCCATATTCTTACAACCAATCTATTTCTCGTTGAGAACAGTGGTATTCAAGAAAGTGACAGTATAAAGTGTAAAATTTATTGGTGATTGCAGTCTGCTATAATAAATGAATGAATGTTGAATTTTCAATACGTGTAGAAAGATAATATTATCATTGTATAATTTGTTATTTAAAATAAACTTATAAATGTTCGTCGTTTGTTATCCTACATTCTGTGGAACTTTATCCGATTGCAAGATTTCAAGGTGGAAATAAGGTGTTTGTGACACCCTATCATATCATATTGGTGTTTTAAATACATCAATACAGTTTAAGGAATAAAAATTGGAATTGCAACAGAAGAGACTAGACTCAGATATTTATGCTTCTTGCATTGTGGCAGATTTGTTTAGTCATAAATTAATCTGGCTGCATCTCATGATTTTGATCATTATAGTGGTGCAGGGTGTTGGGCACGAAGTAGAACATGCTTACTCTTTTCGAAACACCTGATGGTACTATGCAATTATTACTTCCGATTTGGACGAGGTGTTTGGTTAACGGAATTGTTTTGCTTAAGAATTACTAGTCGTTCTTTCTTTCAATATACCGGTATTTTATGCGCCTAAATGCCATCAATTTAATTATTACGACAATATCTGGGATGTCGCCTTTTAAAATTGTTTGAACCACAGAGAAAGAGGAAGAAATACGAACCAGGATGTTAACGCCCGGCAGATCATTCTGCATAGATTCCATTACTTTTTTTATTACCAACAAATCAAATGGACTGCTTACGTTTATGTTTTAAATCGAACCCTCATGATCAATTTGCTTGACAATAATTGTACATTTTGGGTTCTTGCTGATAATCTTTCTTCTTCGTGCAGTTCTGAAGTATACCCCACTATTTCATGCGTTGTTATTCCATTTACATATGAATATTACCGATCATATGGGATGTTGCCCTTAAATTTGTGAGAAGAGGAAGAATTTAATGTAATCCTCATTTTGGAGGACTAAAAGAGTATAATGGCGGATTCATCTACAATAATGGCCCTCGCACAATAGCGATCAAATCGCATTGCTGCATGAACAACATGTCATAAGATTCCAACACTAAGTTTTTGATGACGTCACTAATCGCAAAATATGCCTTATCACATATGGCCCTTCGCGATTAGCGACGTTGTCAAACAAGTAGTAGTCTTAGTGGAATTGCCGGAACTACAGATGTCTGTTTTAGAAAACAACTTTAAAATCCCTTTAAGAATTATAATTTCTATCTTTTAAGCAGCTTTGTTTTGTAAAATATTGCGGTATTTCATGCGTTGTCTAAGAATATTTTTGACCTTTGCATGGGATAAATATGAATATTAGTGATGTCACTTTTATCTCGGATGTTGCCTATATCTGGGATTTCGCCTTTTAAATTTGTTTGAACAAGAGAAAAGAGGAAGAAATACAAACCAGGATGTTAAACTAACATAATTCAACTATTATTCAATTGTAATAAGGACCATATTATATATAATGGCGGACACAATTAACATCTTAGTATATTGTGTCTTTTTATATTTGACGAATACCCTGATACCCTACCGTGAGTATTTTCAATCTTAAGATGAAGAGGTATACGCTCGTGGCGGTGGGTCTTTATTCTGTATTACAGAAGCGAATTGTGTTGATAAAGTGTCGGTACATTGTGCTGCCTATTTTTAACCACAAATAGACAGTGTACGGTGCGGGATTATCGATACAGTAGATAATGTTAGTAGTGAACGCACGAAGTATGGGTCCGCTCACGCAGCGGGCACAATTCTATTTTCTACAGAATCGATTATCGTACTTGTTAGGTGCATTATAGTACTTGTACAAATAATTGCATAGTTTAGTAGTTACATATAGGATAAGTAGAAAATATAACGACTTTCGACATATATTCGACTATAGAGATCCACTTTTTTATCAATGTCCTACTCAGTGTATTGTTTAAACCGTAATAAACTGCGTAGTTATTAGAGATGACTTCATAGAATGTGAGAAAGTAAATGACACGCCTTAGTTTTTTTAGTATGTCACTTATCTGGAAATTAAAGGGGCACGTTCACCATCCGTAATGTAATTTTCGTGCAGTTCTAGTACTTCTGAAGACTATTTATATATCATTCAATGCACAACTCAACCCCCGAAAATACCGATTGTTGCCCTGAGCAGTGTTTTTGACAACAGATTATGTTCTTTCATGATTAGATGGGATAAGGTTGAGTGGTATACCAACTGTTAATTATGGATTAAGACAGAGGTTTAAATGCTCTCAAGGTGGTTTGAGGGGTATAAGCGATGCTACATTCTATCGTAATGGAACAAAGTTTGCTGTGGTTAAAAGAAACCCTTGGTGCAATTTGAAATTAATAAATGAAGGCGAAGGTGATTTCGGGAAAAGGTGTTCCTGGACAACACGAACTTTGTTCATTAAAAAGGTAGATGATAGCTATAACAATACAGTTTGGAAATGTGAAAGCAGAGGAGACACGTCTAACGAATTCACTCTCAAAGTTAAAGGTAACCAAATTAAGTATTTCTTCGCTTCACTTCAATTTTTCACAAATATCTAAAAATGATATTTTAGCAAATTCAAATACTTTCAACAATTAATAGAATTCCTCACCTGCCGTTACGAAATCTGTCCTTAAAATGAACCTTTGATTGGTTGAACATTTTAATGACATAGACCATGAATGTTAGCATAACATCTCATCCAAAGTGTGGCAAAATCGAGAGTAAAATTTGTGTGGTAAGGGACTCCTCTATGGTCGGTATCGCGCGCGACATCCGCCACGACCACAATGGTAAAAATCATGAGATACAACCAGATCAATTCAGGCCTGACCAAACAAATCAGCCAAATTCACCACGAAAGAACCTTCCCCCAAAGAACAATTACAAACATTATATACAATTCATAACTGTAAGAATTGAATTATAGCTGCAAAAAGTCTTCCTATTTCAGATTTAAATCCCTGTTACTTCAATGCTTCGATATCAGGAAATGTTAGTAACGTAGTTGAAGGAGGCGACTTACGTCTTACTTGTCATGCCATTGCTGATGGTGATGATGATGATGCTGGTAATAAAGATCTTAATTACTCTTGGACTATTTATTATAATAATGGTTCTGATATGAAGCCTAGAGTACAGACGCTTGATAAAATAGCTTCAAGAGGCGACACTGGCATGTACAGTTGCCAAATAAGGAAAAAAGACTGTATGAGCGAGGCTCAAATAGACATCAATGTTCAGTGTAAGTGTAGTAGCCTCTTATGTTCTGCATTGAGTGTTCCTCATCGAGTCATTCCTTAATCGAAATCATTCTTTCTTTTATATCTGTTCTTTAATATTTCAGAATATTTTTCCTTCCACTTCCTCATTTCTGCATACGTGCCAGTTAATTTATTGTGTTCATCATCATGTCTGGAACTTACTGGGACACAGAATTTTTCTCTACCAGCTGATAAAGTTCAATATCAGATATCTGTATTGTCATCTAAATATTTTCTCTACCAGCTGATAAAGTTCAATTTCAGATATCTGTATTGTCATCTCAATATTTACTTTATCAGCTGATAAAGTTCAATATCAGATATCTGTATTGTCATCTCAATATTTACTTTATCAGCTGATAAAGTTCAATTTCAGATATCTGTATTGTCATCTCAATATTTACTTTATCAGCTGATAAAGTTCAATATCAGATACCTGTATTGTCATCTAAATATTTATTTTACCTGCTGATAAAGTTCAATTTCAGATATCTGTATTGTCATCTAAATATTTTCTCTACCAGCTGATAAAGTTCAATTTCAGATATCTGTATTGTCATCTAAATATTTACTTTATCAGCTGATAAAGTTCAATTTCAGATATCTGTATTGTCATCTAAATATTTACTTTACCAGCTGATAAAGTTCAATTTCAGATATCTGTATTGTCATCTCAATATTTACTTTACCAGCTGATAGAGCTCAATTTCAGCTATCTGTATTGTCATCTAAATATTTACTTTACCAGCTGATAAAGTTCAATTTCAGATATCTGTATTGTCATCTCAATATTTATTTTACCTGCTGATAAAGTTCAATTTCAGATATCTGTATTGTCATCTCAATATTTACTTTACCAGCTGATAAACTCAATTTCAGCTATCTGTATTGTCATCTCAATATTTTCTCTACCAGCTGATAAAGTTCAATATCAGATATCGATATCATTGTTTTAGAATACAAAATCTTAATGTTCCTTTCTCATAGAATCAACATTAACGTATCGCGATATTCTAGATAATCGCCACTACTAGATAAGACGTAATTAGTCGGGTTCAGGTTTAGGGTTGGGTTCGGTTATTTTTTCGGATAATGTTTTGTGAGAATTTAAGGAATTTTGTTTGTTTTATGAATTTGTTATTGCTGATTCAGTAAAATCACCTGAGGAAGTAAATGTATTGGACTACAGTCATTTAAGTCGAATGTAATTATTTCAGATCGCCCAACAGTATCAATCCATTCTGAATCAAATTCTACCATCAACTTAACCTGTGTAGGTGACGGATATCCCGATAATTTTACATTTTATGGTTGGCATCACTTTGTCAATGGTCAACAAGTTAGAGTTTTAAAGGGCAACAAAACACGTGGTTCTTCAGTTTTAATATTGGACGGAGTTACTGCCCTTGATAATGGAAAATATGTTTGCTTATTAAGCAATGGTATACCTCAAGATGGCAAATTGAATTCCTCTGCTGAACATGCGGTCAAATTACCAGGTATGTTTACTGCTTAGAGTGTAACCCAACCTGATAACAATTTCATATTTTATTCGTGTCCATAGTAATCTAAATTGTTTTGTATAACCGCCAGGTTCAAATGACGTGATTTTAACAAATCAGAGCATGATATATAGGTCAGCTTTGTAAAGAAAAAGGTCGTTCTGACTTTATCTTTTAGTGTCGAACTGACGTATGGTAATATTGTACGGTCAAATTATCCTTGTTTTATGGGGGCAAAAATCACGTGTCTTCATTCTGACAATGGTATACATTTTTCAAAATATACTCTGTAAATTGGTACCTCAAACCTCAATTAAACGAAGGCTTTGACTCATGCTTATTTTTTTTTTAAAGGCCATTCATTGAAAACATCGTTATATAAGCTGATTAAATATTTTAACAAAAAACCAAGTTATAAGCATGCTTCTTGCTCTAACAAACTAACTTTTGCCAAGTGTGTTTTATTTATTTCAGTGACACCAATGGCCATTGAGAACACGATACAGGAAATCGAAATGAACACTGGAGATAATGTTAATATGACGTCAGAATTTCTGACCGAGGACGTCCAATCCGTTACGCTTATAGAACCCGGCGACACACAGGACAAATTAAGTGTTATGGACGTTGTCCAAGTGGAGTACAGGGAGATAGAATGGTATGGAACTACTGTAAATGCATCAGTTAGTGTGGTTCAATATTCGATCCAAAATGTTACGAACGAAGGACAGTATTATTTCAACGTGTGTAATCTGCATGAATTATGTGATGTTTCTTTAGGCTACAAGATATTATTCACTGTAAAAGGTAAGACAATTATTAGTTGTAGTATTTCTTACTCTTCAGGATATCACTTTCATAAGGAAACTCACTTATGATTGATATACTTCCTCATGTGAAAAGTTCATAAGCTTCTATCAATGTTTCGCCAAAATGTTGTTTTGGATTTCGTGTTTTGTTTTGCGTTTCGGATCGTTAGTACATGTTCATTCAACATATCCTGCAGATCATATCTTGCCCACATAAATTTCAAAAATTTTAATAAAAATCTGAAATATTTTTGTCGCAGCATAGTAGGACCTTCACATACCGACTCTTTCAAAATTTCAGCTCAACCATACGTCACGAGTCACTGAAATCTCACCGTCAGCGGCTTATTTCTGCTGTGTCGTTTTCCCCGCAGGAAATCTGTTTTGTTTATTTTAGACAAGATAATGATGACACAGTTCTTTGCCATTTACGTCATTAGCTTAATAACCACTTCTGAAAAGATACCGAATCGTCCAACCCAGCTGCTGATTGACATCGCATAGTCTAGAAGAGTCGTCATAATTTCACTAGGGTTTGGTTAGATGTAGCTTGTTCAACAGAAGAGTTAACTTAACGTCATAATCTTTTGTCTTTTGTTTCAGAACCTTTTCCGGGAATAATTGACACAGAAGAACAAAAGAAAAGTCTTCCAATTATAATCGGATCCGTTGCCGCACTTATAGTGCTCATAGTCATCGTCATTATTGCGATTTGTGTAGTAGTCGTTCATCGAAGATCCTCCACGAAAAGTATGGATACAATTGGTAAGAGTCGAATTTCTGAAGAGCTTATGCTTTTCTGAAATGTACCTTAAATTCAAAAGTCAAAAGTAAAGCCGATTAGGGCTCGTAGCAATGCTCCATCAATAAATGAAATTAATCTATGTAGAGGGGTTAATATACGTGCAGGCAAAGTGGTGCTTTTGCAAAAAAGCAGGACATTGGTTACAACTTTTCTTTGAACCCTCAAAAATCTGTTAATAATCAAAGAAGTAGATCAACAAGGATGGCTGAAAAAAAAAAAAAGAAAAAATGTTTTCTAAAAATCTTTAAAAATTTTCTTTCAGATGATTTGGTCCACAGGTAATGTAAATTGTCTTTAAAACTTGATTCGACATCGGTACATTGAAAGTATAGATTAAATACCGAGGTACCTTTTAACTTGTTAGGCTTATGGCCAACATAAGCTTAAAGTGTAGTTGTCTCCCTTATGTTTTGCTAAAGCCTTATTTGAAACTCGTATTCTGAATGGCTACTCCTAGGCCTGACTGCATTAAACACATAAATGCCTACTCTAGGCCTTCATCAAGAACACGATTTTAAAGAAACTTATCACATTCAATGCGTGTATATCAATCTACCTTTTTATAAATAGTTTTATCAGAATTTCATCTCCGTCCAAGTATCTTCATTTTACAGGTGTTCGAATCCAACGTATGACGATCGAGACGTCGGTGAGTAATCTTCGCGATGTCAAGTTCACATTAATCTACAAATTTTACCTTTTCTTGGTGCGAAGGGCATTATGAATTTGAGTAAAACTTAGCTGAGAAATTTCTCGTGACCCCGGGGCCAGGAGAGCTAGTTTTAAATTTCCTAATTGGACTTTAAGGATATGAGTAAATCATAGTTACGTCTTTTTCAGAAATCATACCAAATGAACTGTATCATTCTTCGGATCAAAACGACAGCAACCTCCAGATGAGTAAGACGGTTTTAATATCTCTCATACTATATTAAAGTAACGTACAAAACCAACCAAACGTTTTGTTAGTTGAAAGCCAGAACCTGCATTTAGTTTTTGAAGAACTAATAAAAATCCGTACAAGCAATACAATTCGGTTAATTAAAATCTAGTCCAAATAATGTCAAAATTGAGAGTAAAAGTTATATATTAGTGAACTCCTCCAAAGAGAAGTCTTGCTTTTAGTCATCAGCCCTCCGTTCAGTTATCTGCTGTTATGAAACGTTTTGACACACCGAGAGTTATCTATCGTCTTTATAAATCACGACCTATAGTTTATGGTTTGAAATACGCTGTTGATAATTAAAATAAAAAATGAAAACGAGCTTTCCCATGCCATGGAAACTATACATTGTTGTTGTTTTTTTTCAGCCATAATACCAAAATTTGATCTGTACCATGCTTCAGACCCACAGGACAATGAGATGGGTAAGTAGGCTGTAACCTTAAACAACATTAAATTCTAACGCAAAAAAAAAAAACAAAACAGAATTAATGAGGAATACCAGATGATTATATTTTCTCCAATTAGAGGTACCACCACGCTATTAAGTGTTGACTAAATAATCTTATATCTTCAGAAATAATCCCAAATGACCTGTATGTTCCATCAGAACCGACACAGGATTCACATGACAAAAATATGGGTACGTATTTCAAACAATTTAAACAAAATAAACGGGTATTATATCATCCATATTTTGCTTTCGGCTGAGATGAAAATAATTGCATTGAATTTAATGCAAATAAAATGAAAATCTGATTAATTATGGCCAAACTATCCAATAAACAAGAGCTCACGGGCGCAAAGAAGAGCTCACAAGCGCAAAGAAGAGCTCACAAACGCAAACAAGAGCTTACAAGCGCAAACAAGCGAAAGCAATATATTAGTTTGTACATTGTAATTATAGCTTGAATTTCAATATGGTGACTGAATATCGGAACACTGGTCTGGAGCAACTAAAAGAATTGCTTTGGTATTGTTTTTAGTTAGTGACAACTTCAAGGTTTTTTGATCTTTTTAGAAATAATTCCAAATGAGCTATATGTGAGTGCTGATGCAGACAACCAAGGTGGAAACCAAGATACTAATGGTCTGAGAGGTAAGCTGAGATATCGTCCCTATTTTTTTTATATAGCAAAGCGTCTACTCCAATGCTGCAGTAGTTCTATCAGGATGAAAAATTCAATTGAAAATACTACTGTAGTACCCCAAACCAAAATTAAAGGTTTGAGGGGCAAGATATGAACAATCACCCTTTGTACAGCTATGGTAACACTTTTTGAAGATGTTGCAAAAAAATCTTGGGTTTGTAAAGGGAAATATGTTCTTGTATCCATCCCAAATTCGTGACTCCACAAATAACGAACCCATAGTTTTATTTCCACATTCCTATTTAACAAAAAGTAAAAGTGTTAGACGTCGTAATTCGAGTTGACGTATTTCTCTTGTAGATGGAACATCAGATGAGATGTACGTTGGTGGGGAGACTATGCAAAGGAATGAAGAAATCCAAAAACAATTCAAATCCAACAATGAAGACCACGAACAAGTATATATGAATGATCCAATGACTCACTAGGAAGACGTTCTGGCGTTTGTGCTTCAAGTCCTAAAGGTGCCCTCATATCCAAGCGATTACCAGTTACGTTTGGTTGCGAATAATGAAAGTTACCATGAGTACTCAACACAACTCAAGAGTTCGTATGCATGAGAATTTCGTTATTCTTATTCGCAACCATATTTCAATTGATAGTCGCTATGGTGTGAGGGCCTCTTTAAGATTTAACCAAAAAAATCACTTCAGTCCAGCAGGTGCCAAATAAGCTTCTGCAGCGTACCATTATCATGTGTGACCATACGGAAAACATTTGGAAGCTAAGTGAACCTTCAGTTTGCTTGCCTTACAGGACAGCTTAACGTGATGCACGAGGCTTCTGTCCTCAAGATGGTCCTTGGCCAAACCTCTTGATCTTTCCAGATCATCCTTATCCATTTAGCAGCTGGGTCGACTTGGATAATGAGGACAGGTAAAAGGCTTTCACACACAGAAACATTTAAACTGTTATTAATATATCATTCTCTTCCAAGATTACGAAATCCAATTTTTTAAAATCCATTTTTTAATTTATTCCGCTATCCATTTTTTAATTTTATTCGTGTTTTCATTAATCTTTACATCAGTATTTGTCAATGCTATTTAATTATTAGTCTTTTAAAATTTTATATTTTTTTTAATATTCTTATTATAATTTTGCCTCTTATTAATTTGATATCGTCTGTCTCATTTTTTAAAATTTATTCTAATTTTTTTAATAAAATTTTTTAATACTCATTATTGTTGCAATATTAGCTGGTAGAATGGAATCTCATTTACTATACTGAACGTCAAGAGGTGTGTGTTCTATAAATCCTTATTTAAAATATAGGTTAGTAAAGACGTCTGGACTCTCAGACAACGAAAAGAAGCAGTAGAGTAGCCTATTAAAAGAGATTTTTTTAAGACCACATAATATGCAAGTGCCAGTGTCTTGTAAGGTTCATTTTCAGAAATTTTCAGACGTTTTTTTTTTACCCTTCGGTACATACCACTCTTCACCTCTCATCTCTGTCTGTATTAAATATATGTTGTTGACCCGACATATTTGATAGCTGAACATGTATTTTGTATTTAATACAATTTCTAGTTAAACCTGAAGTACAGGGTTGGAAATAGGCTGGGTTCATTTGAGACCATATTTGTTTTAAGCAACGTAGCCTGAATTACTTGAAATAAACAGAGCCATAACGACGGAAGTGACTAAACTTATCAGCACTTATCACGAGCAATTATCATCAGTGATATTATCCGGTTTCGTTGATGCAGGTCGGATGGGCTGACGAGGAAACGGTGTTTAGTCGTTTTGATGGTACAATACACCGGAAGCCGCAGACTGTGCAAGCATAAAATTCATCCAAAAAGAGTAGGGTAATCCTACTGTAAGATACACCACTGCATGACGATGCCTGTTCTTATTAGCCCTATATGAGAAGAACAGAAAGGCGTAAAGCTCTATTTCATTTCACGATAATGGAAATAAAGTGGTAGTGGTGATAAGGGCCCACAAAAGATTCGTATATCCTCATCATAAATTAACCAGGATAAATTTGCTCGGTTATTTTATCATTTCTTGGTACAAAGTTCAAACTATTTCGTAAGTGTCATCCTGTTTGCAATAAAAATTCAAACCAAATTTAGTCATTTCAACTGTGATTGACATAAACTCAAGGACGTAAAATATTATCTAATTCATTACTTTTTATCGACATATCCTCGAGTCAAATAATGTCCAATATAAATTTTACAGTTTTAAGATAAAAATCTCGATGTTATCAATTTTGAAACAATACTAGAAACATTTTTCATATTACTTTTTTTTGATTTGTGTATGTGATAAGTATGGTATGTTATTTTATGTTTTCCACCTGTGAAAGAATTTGGATTTTGAAGACTGGTAAAATGGTGCAGTGTGCCTATATGCAACTCAATCAGTTTTGTTTCTCATTCATTTGAGCTGCCCGCTAGTAAATAGTTTCTGTTGGAATTAAGCCAGTTCTTACAGCACTGCTTCCACTGAGCAAACGTTATGTAAATACAACGTGTACGTTTTCGTGAAATCTTGAGCAAACGATAGGTAAATACAACGTGTACGTGGAATCTTCATGAACATTAAGCAGTAAAGCCCTCGTTGAAGAACTCACAAAGAAGGGGTGGTTACATACCATTTTTATCATGGTGATGACAATTTCAAGGCTTCATGTATAACAGTAAACTGTTAGCGATATAAATATTTTGAGATTTACAGCAAGTCCTTTAACATTCAAATATAAAAAAGACATTAGCCTCAATGAGTTATGTGTTTACAAAATGTAAACAGGCATTAGATATTAGTCAAGAAACGACAACCATATAAGGTGATAGTACTGGAGTATACCAACCAAACCTGTTATGTAATTATTAACATTAATTCAGTTTTTAGTTACCTGAATTTCGCCTTGACCCACTAGGTATAGTCCCACTAGGTATAGTCCCACTAGGTATGACTTTGAATTGTAAAAATAAAATCTATATTTGGGTTCTGCATTTTGGTCTATTGTCATAAATATCTTCGTAATAATGCCAAGGTTTAATCCAGGGTCGAGTTTTATTCGATCTATTCATACTTTAATTGATTATAAAATGCAAAAGAATAGAATTCAATATTTATGTATAGAAAGCCAGTGCTATGTCTTCTAAGAATTCTTTTCTTAAAGCTTTATGATTTATTACAATTTATTTTGACTGATCTCTGGTAAAACCTTCATTCGTTCGTAATGCTCGGCGATCACGTCTTTAAAAACCTAATAGAACGAATTACGTTTCGCAAGTATGTTCGCAAAACCTGTGTATTCCAGTTTGTAGCAAACAGTTTGTAACACCAAACTTTCAAATAAGAAAGTTCTCGTTAAAAATATATATTTATGTCATTCGTTAGGGATTGAATGAGTAACACAAGGGCAATGAAAATAAAAAATTAAATGGTGTTTCACCCCTAATTTTTTTCATCTTTGAGCTTTATCGTGTGTATAAAAATTAGAATTAACTTTAATAATAAAAAGGTTGACAACGTATCAAATGGCGTACGTATTATCTCTTGCGTAAATATTACGAAACAACCTAACGCGTATTGTTCCCCTTTTAAAAGTTCAAATTATATTTTGTCACGCTGGGAGACACCCAAATTTCGAAACTTTACAAGAGTGACTCGATCAGTTTTCAAAACTGATTCGCTTTACTCACTGAATGCGGGTATTCGTCGTGTAGGCCTCCTTATGTACATTTAAACTTAACACTGCAATTGATAAGCCTGGGGCACATTAGGCTTATTATTAGGTCACATTATGCTAATTAGCTATTGGCCATTGTATTCACTGAATTGAAAAACTATTTTTATATAGATTGTATATCTAGTGAATTAGGTCGTAACTTTCGAGAAATTTTGGCCGATAAGTTATCTTATGTCATTTGAAATTTAAGTTATTGTTCGTGACCTGCTTTTGAAAAGAATATTGCCGTAACGTAAATCAATGAAACGTCCGAATATCAGAATTCCATTTTATCATTGACGTTTCAAATGCCTAATAATTTGAGCGATTTCGCTATCCTATCGTAAGGTTTGGTGTAAAATTTTGAATTGACTTGGCATCTATACCGTTAACATGATCCATAGAATAAGTCGTATGCAGCTTTTATTTTATTATAAAGCCATACGAAACGAATTCTTTGGAAGGGTTAGATATTCAAAAACTTCAAAAACTTTTAATTTGGATATTGTGATATATAACGAATTGTTTTGTAGGGTGACATATTCTTAAGCATTTGATTTTTGATCATATTATATTTATAAGCATTGATTAAGCTATTTTGATTCATTATCATTGATATGTCGATTCATATTTCGCACTGTGGGTTAAGGTTCAATCACGATCCTTTATAGATCATATGATTCATCTCCGTGTGAGACAGACGAATTACCGAGTTTTAGTCTATTTCTCCATATTATTTGGAATGATGATCAGAATATCTGTTGTCTTATTCATTTTGTACGAGTCTACTGGCGTATTCATGCTTCGTTTGTGTGACAATCGAGACTACATATCCAAGTATAGTCAGCTACACGAGAGAAAACTCCTAAGCGACGTAAATAGTAACATGACGTCATAATAGTATCACGTGATCACTTGTTTACAACGATTGAGAAGAGAATTTTTCTCGAGGATTCCCGAATAGCGCAGTGTTGTTGAACTATTCTTGGCGTGAAAACAACTCAGTTGACCTGTTATTGCTGGGTTATTCTAGATGACTAATAGCTAAACAACTTGATTATGTACAGCTTGGCGATAAGTGGTTCGTTTATTCGGTGAGTGTGTGGATTCATATAAAAGGCAGTCAGTGAGGTGAGCCATGCACAATTTTACTTTACTCGATCGAAGAAACAGTCGTAAATACACAAGATTTTTCAACGACGACGAGTTCAACATGCGATTGAATAGTAGTTTAGTGTTTGATTCGCCATTTGTAGAACATTTTAATCATGAACCATGGGCAACTTCACCTATACGCCGTGGACGCCACCCGGCTTTCTCACGAGTTCCTCGGCCCGGAATGGACCATATAGCGGACACGCAACGTAGAGTGTTAGATCACTTCCATCGAGAAGTCGGAGGGGATTTTGGATTTCGAAGGCTGAATGAAGAAAGTTCGTCTGCTAGAGGACGGAACGGTGGTTTTGATGACTCACGTGCTCGAATCATTCCAATACAAGTGATAAGGGAACCCCGGCGAGAATTTTGTGAAATTCAAAGGCGACCGTCCCCCTGTCCGAGGTACATTGATGTGTCTGATGATAGTGACTGTGATGAACCGAAGTATATCGGACCTAATGATAACAACAATGGACTGAGAAATTTACAGCCAGTCGGAAGAAGCCCTCCTAAACGGATTACAAATCAAGGTCGTGTGGACAGTCATACGGAAAGATCGCGTCCAGTCTCTGATAGACTTCCACTTACAGTGCTACAGACAAACGATTCCTTAACTAGAAACGTTCAACCTTCCGCCAGTCGTCCGATTTCACAATCCGGCGCTGCACGTCAACATTCTACATCTCAGACTGCGTCTACGAAAGCGTTAGTATAGAAGCAAATTCCAGTCCAACACATCGAATCGACTCCGGGATACCCTGTATATGCCTACCTCAAATCTAAATTAGAGTCCGATGGACGACAGATTGATTATATTCAGGGAGATGGGAATTGTTTTTTCCGGGCCCTCAGTAAGGAGGTATACGGATTGGAAGAATTCCACGCGGAGGTTCGCCAGGCTGTGATGGACGTCATAGAAAAATATCCTAAAAAATTCGAACAATTTCTAGATGACGATTCATCGATGAAGGAACACATCAAAGATATGCGACTTCTGTCGACATGGAGTACGACGATGGAAATTTACGGCGCCGCAACGCTACTTCAAAGAGACATTTACGTGCTGTCTCCTAACCATACCGGAGAATCGTACAGTTGGTTGCTGTTTTCACCACGTTTTGCCTACAACGGAGAGATGAAATACCATCCGTGTTACATCACGTTATGTCATACGAACGGTAACCATTATGATCGTATCGCCGCAACACATCATGAATGTAACTGTAATTTGAACGCTCCGAAATTAACTGGTGCCGAATGTTATGTGGATCTAACGAATGCGGAGTTGTCGGTGTATTAGTGGTGTAATGCAGTATTGTGCTATAGTGTGTAAATGTGTTTGTCGTACGCCTGCGAATAACGAAGGGAGTATATGTGTTGGTAATCAAATTGAGTGTAGAGGACTTGCACATGATCGAAATGTTAAATACGAATTTTTGAGGTATGTTTAGACTCAATGAACCTTCCCAATATCAACATTTGAAACACGACAGTCGGGTATGGATGCCAAATAAATACAGCCGATTTGAATTTGATATCTTATAATTAAAATAGACTTGAGTAACGCCTTTTGTAATTGTTGATTATGTCACGCAGTTCTGTTTATCTTTTTCGTGTGAAGTTATGAATTACCTGGACGTGTGCCATGAAATACTTCCTTTTGGCCTTTTGTATTTAAATTTAAAAAAGATAGGCATTAGTTAATTTATACAATCCGTGAAATGACAGTTCTAAATATTCCATTTCCGTCTTTTTACTTTTTGTCTGCGGTTTAATCAACTGGCTTACTTTGAAATGAACAAATAAAAGAACAAACTACATTTAATTGTTAATTGTAGAAATCAGTTAATTGTAAGTTCACATCTCATGGAATAGGTTAAAAAAAACTGTAATTTCAATTAAATTTGAGGCATATAGATTGATATTGCCTTGCATAGTTCGTATTGATTTTGTATGGTCGTGAGATTCGGTGTTGCAGGATGAAAGGCAAGGCCAGAATGTGACGGTAATTATTCTGTGATACTATTGTTCTTCAAGCGAGGGTATCTCAAACAGTGCCAAAATTAAGGTGCTAACTTAGTTATTTAAATGATTATTTGTATATGTATGTATTTATTTATATCTTTAATACGATTAAAGTTCTATCGTTTTCATGAATTTTGCTTTTGATTTGTCATAATCGTTACCACATTATGTGATCTTGTACGAAACTTCCATCTCGTGTACCCATTATAGGACAGAGCCTAACAAAATCATGTACCCTATGACCGTTCTAATATTATTTTGTTGCGGACAGTCTAATTCAAATTGGAACAAACTTTCGTTCTATTTTATTAGCTTTTACTTTGATGGCTCCATAGAAATTAAAGCTAATAAAAAGCGAAACGAATGAAATGGAATAAGGCTCTGTTGGCAGGTAATGCATGTATCTAAACAACACCTTTGTCTCTTCACATAAGTTATAATGACATTGTTTGGTTTGCTATTCGATTAGTTGTTATCTCCCTTTATTTACAAAAATCTTTACAGAAGAACCATCTAAGTGCTTAAGACAGGCGCACACATGTCAACTTTTAGACGCTGTCCTAACGGTGTGAGATTTTTCGACGGCGTCAAATTATCGGGACATATAGTCGGCGCACACTTGCCTATTTTTTTTATCGCCACTGGGGTGTCTCCATTGGCTATCTGTTGAGCTACCGTAAACCATGTCATTCAGAAGCACATTGTATTCTTTAACTGTGTCACAGCAGCACGTGCCATGCCAAACCTGTCAGTTATCTCCCGATCATTCCTGATTTTTTCATAGGACTGTCGTGGACCAACCCACACTGGCCGATTTTTCGACACCCATATTACCGGCGTCAAATAATCGGTAAGTGTGCGCCAGCCTTTAAATGACTGCTAAATGGTTTGCCAAATAAAGTTATTATTAATATGCATAGATTTCTAATTGTTTGATTTGTTTTGAGATCATTTGTTATCTCCCTTTATTTAAAAAAAATATTTACATGGGCCATATCCAATTGCTTTAATGATCGCATAGATTTCTAATATAAATAGTAATTTGTTATTGAAATTTAAAGTTACAGGATACGATTGTCTAAATATTTTATTGGCGACAGGACAGACTTCATCTTTAGATTACTTTTTTAGCATAAACATCCGACTTGCCGTTCGGTTTAAGCAAATTAAAAACTAACAGCGGTTGGCGATGGTTTAAATTATCAGACGGCAATAGTCAGCTTCTCAGGTTAGGCGATATACTTAAAAGCAACCTTTGCGAAAGTCATAAAACAATATAAACCACCTAGTTTTAGTTAAAGAAACACAGACCTATGACTAAACTTGAAATGGAAATCGACGCATTCAGTGTCTCGATACACATAAAAGGTTTAGAAAACCTCTTTACAATCTCTTTAATCATGCATTAATCTAATTCGACCCATTCATACAGTGTAGTTATAGGATATGATAAGATATTGTATTGTATCATTATGTACCATAAAGGATACATACAATTTACATAAATTATACAATCCACCGTGAAACTCAGAGAAGCAACATGATTCAAGTTCTGTTTAATATTTCTATATCGCTCTACAATTGATGTATTAAGCACTATTTTAACAGTGGTATTTCTATATCTCTCTACAATTGATGTATTAAGCACTATTTTAACAGTGGTATTTCTATATCTCTCTACAATTGATATATTGAGTACTATTTTAACAGTGGTATTTCTATATCTCTCTACAATTGATATATTGAGTACTAATTTAACAGTGATATTTCTATATCACTCTACAATTGATGTATTGAGCACTATTTTAACAGTGATATTTCTATATTGCTATACAATTGTTGTATTGAGTACTATTTTAACAGTGGTTTTTCTATATCACTCTACAATTGATGTATTGAGCACTATTTTAACAGTGGTATTTCTATATCGCTCTACAATTGATGTATTGAGTACTATTTTAACAGTGGTATTTCTATATCACTCTACAATTGAGGTATTGAGCACTATTTTAACAGTGGTATTTCTATATCACTCTACAATTGATGTATTGAGCACTATTTTAACAGTGGTATTTCTATATCACTCTACAATTGATGTATTGAGCACTATTTTAACAGTGGTATTTCTATATCACTCTACAATTGATGTATTGAACACTATTTTAACAGTGGTATTTCTATATCACTCTACAATTGATGTATTGAACACTATTTTAACAGTGGTATTTCTATATCACTCTACAATTGATGTATTGAGCACTATTTTAACAGTGGTATTTCTATATCACTCTACAATTGAGGTATTGAACACTATTTTAACAGTGGTATTTCTATATCACTCTACAATTGAGGTATTGAACACTATTTTAACAGTGGTATTTCTAAATCACTCTACAATTGATGTATTGAGTACTATTTTAACAGTGGTATTTCTATATCACTCTACAAATGAGGTATTGAACACTATTTTAACAGTGGTATTTCTATATCACTCTACAACTGATGTATTGGACACTATTTTAACAGTGGTATTTCTATATCACTCTACAATTGATGCATTGAGCACTATTTTAACAGTGGTATTTCTACATCACTCTACAATTGATGTATTGAGCACTATTTTAACAGTGGTATTTCTATATCACTCTACAATTGATGTATTGAGCACTATTTTAACAGTGGTATTTCTATATCACTCTACAATTGATGTACTGAGCACTATATTAACAGCGGTATTTTCTATATCTCTCTACAATTGATGTATTGAAAACTATTTAACAGTGAATATATTTTATTACTGTACATTATACAAATACATGTATATAAAAAGTCAATTTTTTGTAGTTCATATTCTCACAAGAAGAAAATGAGGAAAATAATCCTAATCAATACAATGAAATACAAATATACAGATTCTTTTTTCACCACTACGAAACTCGCTCTGGACAGATAACAGAGATTGACACTGCTCTACGCTGCCAGCCGATGGAAACAGAGGATATCAGAATACGCCATGCTACCCATGGCAGACAGTTGGGAAAACATGTAACCATGTAATTTTAATTCTAGAAATTGAGTGGAATGAGATGAAAAGAAACCGAGAGAAACTATAGATAAGTTTTGTACGAGAGATAAAAATAAGAGTTAAAATGATAAATTTTTACAGATAAAATGAGAGTAGGAATAAACTTGAAGACAGTAATGAAAATAGAAGAGGACTAAGGATCTGAAAATAAAAAAACGAACTGAGGACTTCATGAAAAAAAATATAAAGGGGATGAGGACTTCATGAAAGAACATATAAAGGGGATGAGGACTTCATGAAAGAACATATATAGGGGATGAGGAATTCATGAAAGAAAATATAAAGGGGATGAGGACTTCATGAAAGAAAATATAAAGGGGATGAGGACTTCATGAAAGAACATATAAAGGGGATGAGGAATTCATGAAAGAAAATATAAAGGGGATGAGGACTTTGTGAAAGAAAATATAAAGGGGATGAGGACTTCATGAAAGAAAATATAAAGGGGATGAGGACTTCATGAAAGAAAATATAAAGGGGATGAGGACTTCATGAAAGAAAATAAAAACGAACTGAGGACTTTATGAAAAAAACGGGATGAGGACTTTATGAAAATAAAAAAAGGAAGGAGGAAAAAAAACTAGATGAACATGTAAAAACAACTGGGTACTGGAACGTCTGAAACAATTGTTGTAATTATATAGTGGTTGATACAATTTTATGGTATACTACTCCCTAGTTTTATTACATACTACTACACTATAGTGAAGTGACTTCACCTGAAGATGACAATGTAGATTGTTGAAAGGTAGAGTGTAATAAAACTAAGGAGTAGTATGCCATAAAATTGTGTCCGTTATTTAATGTGATCTCTACCACTAAATGTCTGAAGGTTTAGTAGTTGATTATGGTATGAGGGGAGAAACTGCTCGATATCCATTGGATTCCATTTCTTTTTTCCAGTAAAACGCCTTGAATCATAATATTCCTCAATCTGTTATACCAGAATCTGATCATGATGAAGATATGTTCCATTTTGAAAGTCGGATTGTTTATTCACTGAAGGTTCTAAACTACGACTTGCACCGTTTTGAAGATTAAGATCAACACAGTCACATAGTTTTGCTTCTGACCTATTCCCATTTCACTATAACACTACAATTACAATCCAAAACACAATCTTGAGTTGTTACAGATGATCGAACTGTTAACGACACTGTTTAATCGAAATAACTTTTTTTCCAATTTTC